TCTGCAAAACCAAACAACTAAAGGGACCACACTTGTATTAATTTGTTGTTTACTAGATTTTTATCCCATCTTTATTACTTTTTAAGTAACTTGAGATGGCAAACATACTTAATATTCCTTATTCATCCTATTTTCCATACAACAAACCTGTGAGGTTAGTTGGGCTGAGAGCAGAAGTGGTATTCAGCAGGTATTGTCCAGTTCTGGGGAACCGGTAGCAGAAATTTTGAGTAGTTCGGAGAACCGGAAAATACACCTCTGACTGGAGATTTTACAGCATCTGGCTTTTACACCCAGCTGGCTTTTCATGCCTGACATGGGACTAGAACTCACAGTCTCCTAGTAATTGGCCTAAAGTCATATAGGCGGTTTTAGTACTCGTAGTTTTAGAACCTATGGCAGGACTAGAACTCACCATCTCCTGGTGATTTGCCAAAAGTCACCTAGCTAGCATTCAAGCAGGACTAGAACCCACCGTCTCCTGTTCCTAGGTCGGTGCCTTAATCACTATAGCGAAGAAACTTTTACATACACACAGACATACATACATACAATTTAAATTTTTTATTGTTTTTTAATTAATAACAAAAAGACCTTAAGGAAAAATGCAAACTTTTAAGCATACACACTCAGCACTACTCATCAGAAAGGTATTTATTTAGATGTTAGTACATTATTAAGACATGGTAACGCTGTGAAGCTAACAGTGAGGAGCAGATTTGAAAGATTCTCCATTTTTCAAAACACACTTCATAGGGTTGTTGTTTTAGAGCCATGTTTCTCAATCTCAGCAATCCTAACACATGTGGGCTTCAGTGCCCAGAATTCCCTAGCCAGTTGGAGAATTCTGGGAGTCCATACATCTTAAATTGCAAAGGTTGAAAAACACTGTTTAGAGAAATAGAAGACGAGACCATTAGCTACACTGCCTTGAATTGTACAAAGAAAAGTGTGATACAAAGCTTACAATATATAGGAATAAGCTCCACTGAAATGCGTTAGGGCTCAAAGAACCTCTTCTTTTAAAGGGCTAAGATTAGGGGCCAGTGGAAGGTTGTGCTGAGTTACTGCCAGCTTGCCTTTTAATCATGTTAATACCGTAACAGGAACAGTAATAAAGCTGTGCCTTGGATAATTGGACACTTTTCTTTTTTATCCTGGATTCCTCCAGAGATCCAAAGGAGGGCAAACCGAGACTTAGATAAATTAATGCTGATTTGCAGGTTATTATTGGAACAGTGATGTGCTGTAGTGATAATAATGAAGGACCGGTGCAAGCATGTTAGAAAGGGATCTAGGCATTTAAATAAAACTGTTTCTCCCCATTACAATGAATCCTTGAGTTACAACAGGTCCTTTCAAAGTTACAACAGCACTGAAAAAAGTGAGTTACAACTAGTCCTTGTTTTTATGACCATTGCAGCATCCTCACAGAACAGGATCAAAATTTGAGAGCTTGGCAACGGACATGTATATAAAATGGTTGCAACATCCTGGGGTCATTTCAGTCTTCTCAACTGGCTTCCAACAAACAAAGGCAACGGGGGAAAGCTGAATCTCTTCACAAGTGGCTAATTCACTGAACTGCAGTGATTAACTGAACAACTGTGGCTAAAAAGTCATAAAATTGGGTGCAATTCACTTCAAACTACCTTGCTTAGCAGTGGAAATTGTGATCAAAATTGTGGTCATAAGTTGAGGACTACATGTATGTGAAAAGGAGTAATATTGCAGCTAGGACACAAAATTCAAAGCATTTAAGTTGTGGCAAAGTTCTCCGATATTGTTCTGTATCGTCTGAAAAGTTCAATATACTTCTGTGCCCTGAAGAAAGGAAAATTTCATCTTTTAATTGTGACTGCTTGCTATCTCGCAATTTTGCCGTTTTTCTGATGTCAGACTTGCATCTCACAGTGTAGAACAGGGGTGTCAAACTCATGATGACATGTAGCCACATGACATGTCACAAATTTTTCTCCCTTCGCTAAACCGGGGGTGGGCGTGGCCAGTGCGTGTTGCATCTGCCCGTGGGCGGCGAGTTTGACACCCCTGGTGTGGAATCTCTCTTGAGGCCCCAAACTTTTCTGTGAACTTATGCCTGTGCTGACTTGATTCTTGAAACCAGTGTTTCTCAACCTTAGGAACCGTAAGGTGAGTGGACTTCAACTCCCAGAATTGAAGGTGCAGGCTGGGGAATTCTAGAAGTTGAAGTCCAATCATCCCCAAGTTGCCAAATTTGAGAAAGGCTGTTCTGAGTGACAGCATCTCAGTTACAGAACTGTCCTTTCATCCTCACCCCTAATCATCTTTCTTCAAAGTCCCCCATGACGTACATAAGTGCACAATGGTGCCTACCGTCCCTGTCCTATTGTCCCCATTCATACCTATTTCCTGTACTCTTACTAATACCTATTATCTTGTAAGCGATTGACAAATCAAATCAATAAATAAACAAATAAATGTTCAGCCAACTACCGTGTTTCTCACTAAATAAGGCCGAGCCTTTTTTTTTTTTTAACCCCCGAAAAAACAGCTAGGCCATCTTTTTGGGGGTGACTTAATTCCCTCCCCCTTGCATCCTCGGGCGGGCAGCAATGGCTTGGATGTTGACCTCAGCGTTGGGGCACTTCATATCGGGAGACCTTCCGCCACCATTGCTTTCCCTTCTCCCTGTGCTGCTGCGTTTAGAGCAACACCGCGGCGTTTGGCGCAGCCACGCGGCATTTGGTGCAGCCACACGGGGCCAGCTAGGGCTTCTCCCTTCAACTGGAGCCCAGCAGAGACACCCGGCTTCAGGCACTCCTGTCACCGCCTTCCCATCGTTCGAAAGCAAAGCCCATTCTTTTAAAAATGATGCCCTACTACCGGTACGACAAAGTCTCCCCTGCCCGAGAGGGCAGCCCAACCCCATGTAGGGAGGCAAATCTCCTGGGGCCGCAACGCAGGATCGGCCCACCTCGGGAGAAGCGCCCAGCCACCATCCCTGCCTGGCGCCGGGCAGAGCGCGAAGAGCTTCGCCTGGGGAGCCCAGCGCAGCTGACAGGTGGGCCCTCCTGCCTGGCGGCAGAGCTCTTGCCAAGGCAGCAAGCGCCTCCCCGCTGGGCCCTCCACTCATCCCGCCAGGGCTGCGCCAGAACTGGGTGGGCTGGGCAGAGCCAGGAAAGTAAGCTGGGGGTGTGCGCCCGCCTGCCAAGCAAAAGAGCCGGGCCGACCTGAGCTTGGCTTCCTTCCCAAGTCCCTCGAGCCCAACTGCGCAGGAGGGCCCACCTGTCAGCCGCACTGGGTACCCCAGGTGAAGCTCTTCACGCTCTGCCCATCGCCAGGCAGGGATGGCGGCTGGGCGCTTCTCCCGGGGTAGGCCGATCCTGCGTTGCAGCCCCGGAAGATTCGCCTCCCCACATGGGGTTGGGCTGCCCTCTCGGGCAGGGGAGGCTTTGTCGTACCGGTAGTAGGGCGTCGTTTTTAAAAGAATGGGCTTTGCCTTCGAACGATGTCCGGGAAGGCGGTGACAGGAGCTCCTGAAGCCGAGTGTCTCTGCCTGTCTCTGTTGCAGGGAGGAGCCCTGACTGGCCACGTGTGGCTGTGCCAAATGCTGCATGGCTGAGCCAAACACTGCGTGGCTGCGCCAAACGCCACGGCATTGCTCTAAATGTCCTGGCAGCACAGGGAGAAGGGAAAGCAATGGTGGCGGAAGGTCTCCCATACGAAGTGTCCCACCAACGCCGAGGTCAATGCAGGCAGCACCATATCCGAGTATCCCACAAAAGTACTTCCTAACGGCAAGCTCCCCCCCCCCCGCCATTCCCTCCCATTTCGCATGTTTAATATAGGCCTTAATTTGGGGTGAGGGACTTAATTTTATTTTATGCCTATAAAACATGCTGGGACTTCCTATTGGGGGAGGCCATATTGTTGGTGAAACACGGTACTTCAGGGCATAAGTTCTTTAATAAGCTTTCTTGATACAGATAATACTCATGTTAACGACTATAATGAAGCCGGCCCATCTCAACAGTAACACATGACAGTCATTAAGCAGGTCTGTCATGTGACCAACCAGATTTTATGACCTTTTTGCAGTTCTGGTTAAGCGAATCTATGGTTGCTAAGCAATCCAGTGGTTTGCTAGGGCATGGTTTTGCTGAAAACTGAAGACATAAATGTTGCTTTTTGGCAAAACCATCATAAAACACAATCATGCCACTATAGGATGGATACTAGAAGCAGCCGTATTAGGCCAGTCACTCTCAGGCCAACTCACCTCAGAGGGCTGCTGTTGAGGGGAAAAAGGGAGGAGGATTGTATGTTGGATCTATTCACTTCCTTAAATTGTTTGTGAAAGCATTAAAGGCAGAATACAAACAAACAAACAAACAAATAGATAGATAAATAATAAAGAGGCTCTTTTGCCAAAGCCCCAAAGTATAGTCACATGACTGACAGGGAATGTAGGTGCATCTCTTGGGATTTTGAATTTGGGTTGTAAATACTACCCAGGTCGGTCCGTTGGAACTTCAGATGATCACTAAGTGACCAGGACTCTCTGTGCTGATATTGGTTTTTTAAAGTGATTTTTTAAAGTGAAGTTTGTAATTCCTGCTTGGGATGTTTAATTTGCTTCCCTCCCTGTAAATTCCTCTGGGTTCTATTAGGATGAAGAGGAAATAAAGAATTAAGGGCTTATGTGGCAGCAAACTTATTAACTGAAGCTTTTCATTGTCATTTAGGATTTCTGTTTGGATTGTATTATAATTATTCGCCTTCGGGATGATGCTTCCATTTAACTTGTTAAGCATTATTACCTTAGGGGGTTTCTTCTAGTGTCTTGTTTCCAGCCACAGCTAGGCAGAGGCATCGGGGACTGTTGCCTATTTAAAAATTGGGTCTTCAGAGATAGATTGCTTCTGCATATGGAGGCTCTATTACCACCAGCTCCTGAGAGTGACCAAAATAACCATCTCTCTCCCTCCCCCTCTTCCCGCCTTCTTTTCTCCTTGCAGGTGAGCGTCCATTCCCATGCAGTTGGGCTGGCTGCCAGAAGAGATTTGCACGCTCTGATGAGTTAGCCCGCCACTTCCGCACCCATACCGGCGAGAAGCGCTTTGCCTGCCCACTCTGCGAGAAGCGATTTATGCGGAGCGACCACCTGACCAAGCATGCCCGCCGCCACCCAGCTTTCCAGCCTGGCATGGTCCGACGATCTGACTGCTACAGAGCCTCTCCTACTGACTCAGCTGGCAGCAGCTTGGCCGGAAGCCCCGCCCCTGGCAGCCCCGCCTCTGACAGCCCCGCCCCTTAAAGGGGGCATGCCACCTTATTTTTTGTCCTTCCCAGACCTGGCCTCTAGGGAGAGATCGGGTACAATTTCAGAGGCATTTTTTTGATTCAGAAACTTGGTTTTCCCATCACTTCCGGTTATAGTTTAATATGCCTTATTTCAGAAAAAAAAGCTCCTTCTTGTGCTTGGTGGGCATTTTGATTACTGTACCAATCCCTCTCCCTGCTTGCTTCCAAGCTGTAGCCTCTATGCACATTCCCATTCCACCCAGGCTGAGGGTGGCAGGATTTGTGGAAACCAGTCGAGCAGACGTGATTAAACTTTGTTGATGTTCCTTTGGAAAAAAAGGCCCCCATGTGGCTCTCAGTCAGGGGCTAACCGATGATTTCCTAGCCCTTGGTCAAAGAGATAGTCCCGCCATCACTTTGCCTCGGTTTCCCAGCTGCAAAGAGACTTTATTCCAGGGGTGTGCAACCTTGGCAACTTTTAAGACCCGTAGTTCAGTTTCTTCAGCCTGGAGAATTCTGGGAGTTGAAGTCCACAGGTCTTAAAATTGCCCAGATTGGACACCTCTGCTTTATTCCAAGGTCTATGTTTGATATTGTTGGAACTGTTCAGCCCAACTCTTCCCTATTATAATGAGAATGCTGATTTCCTCGTTCATTGTAGCCCTCAGGAAAAGAAAGTACTTTGTTCAAGTTTCACTTAGCTTTAAGCCTCTCTTTTTGGCCAACCTATTGGTAAAGAAGAAACTATTGACTCTTCGTATTTAGAAAGAGAGCCTGGTGGGAACTCTTCTCTATGCCTTTGGCCTCTTTGCATTTGATAATCAGAATTAACTTGCCTCTGAATAAGGAGGATCCCTCTTTAGCTATCAAGGCTAACGACAAACCGTACGAAATCATGGCTTTCCATCTCCCCATCCTAAATTGATCGTTTGCAAACTATTTTGGGGGGAAATGTTCAGGTTGACATAGGCCCTTTGACACTAGAACTGCAGCAAAAGTGGGAGGTGATTGTTTTTTTTCCCCCAGAGGGAAATTGGGTGTCGGTAACTAACTTTTTGACCTGATATTGTATGTAAATATATATTTTTTTTCTCCCAGGTCAACTTTACGTAAGGTTAAAAAAAAAAAAAAAGATGAGGACCTGTTTCTACGGGTGTATCTGTTTCAGGGTGTGAGCGTGTGTATGTGTTTATGGTTTTTATAAAATATGTATTTATTCCTTTTACGATAGAATGTAGGAGACCAGTGGTAAAGTTTTATTGTATGACTGGTTGGCACATGGATGAATTAAAGCTGAAAAAAAGAATGGGATTTTTAGTACGACTCAGGACACCTAAAAGCACTTTTTCTCACTTTCATGGGGCTGTGGCAACTGCTCTGCACAGCTGTACACCAGGCAAGCGTGTGTGTGTGTGTGTGTGTGTGTGTGTTCCTTGTTTAAAAATGGAAGCTTTGATGCTTTGGGTGATGATGGTTCTTTGCAAGCTGTCAGGTGTCTCAACAATGCTAGGCAGGAAGCAGGCCTGAGCAGGCATTCGAGGACACAAAGCTCCAGATTTACGGTGGGAAAAAAATGGAATGCAGCCATTATGAAAGAATTTCAGCGATGGCTCTGTATTAAATGCAAAGTAGATGTATTGTGAAATCAGGGTTGATTTTTCTGGCGGCTTCTGGCACCCGTAAGGCGTAGCTGGTGTGAAGCTGCTGTTCCAGAATCAGGCTATCTGCTTTTGACTTGGTGAGAATTGGCTCTTATATAAAAGCATCTTTGATTTGCTTCGGTGCTCTGCTGCTTCTTGAAAACGTAAATCCATTTATGCAGACAAGGCTGTCTTGGCACTTGCATTTTGAGAACAAGCCATGCAGTCACCATTCTCTGCCTTGCAAATAAGGAATAGAATAATGAGATATGGGGAGAAGTAACATTTAGCTTTGCTGGCTGGGGAATTCTGGGAGTTGAAGTCTTGCCAGGCTTAAAGTTGCCAAGCTTGGAGACCCCTGATTTAGCTATTTCAAGGGATAGCAATAGAAGGAACTGGGAAGCAGAAGGGAAGAGATGTTGCCATATTAACAGGTCTTATCCTTGGCAGTACAGGGAGTTCTCGACTTAACAACGGTTCATTTAGTGACTGTTCAAAGTTAAAACAACCCTGAGAGAAGCGGCTTGTGACCGTTTTTCCCCACTGACAACTGTTGCAGCATCCCCATGGTTATGTGATCAAAATTCAGATGCTTGGCAACTGAAATCATATTTATGACGGTTGCAGAGTCCCAGGGTCATGGGGTCTCCCTGTTGTGACCTTCTGACAACTAAAATCAATGGGGAAGCCAGATTCAATTAACAGTTGTGTTACTAATTTAACAACTGCAACGATTCACTTAACAACGGTGGTGAGAAAGGTGGTAAAATGGACCAAAATTCACTTAAGAATCGCCTCATTTAGCAACATAAATTTTGGGCTGAATTGTGGTTGTAAGTCAAGGACTGTACTGTTCAGGTAGGCCTCCACTTACAACCACAATTGGAACGGGATAATTCTTCGTTGAGTGGTGTGGACATTTAAGTGAGGCGCCCTTTAAACGGACACTTTACCATTTTGGGGGGCCATGGTTATTAAGAGAATCACTGGGTTCAGCTAGACACCACATGGTCCCTTGTGAGCATGCCTGCTGGCTTCCCCATTGACTTTGCTCATCAGAACCCAGCTAGGAAGGTGGCAAATGAGGATCACATGACCCAGGGATGCTGCAATGCTCATAAATTCAAGCCAATTGCCAAGCACCCAGATGGTGATTACATGACCGCCTGGAATGCTGCAGTGATTATAATTGTAAGGACCGATCATAAGCCATTTTTTTCAATACAATTGTAAACTTAAACAGTTACTAGAGAAATGGTTGTAAGTTGAGGACTACTTGTAACTTAGGCCAGGGGTCTCCAACCTTGGGCACTTTAAGACTTGTGGACTTCAAATCCCAGAATTCCTCAGCCAGATTTGCTTGGTAGCAATCTTTCACTTGGGTTGGACTCCAGCTTCTAAACTTCTCAGTCTAGGAAGGGAGGAAGTGGTTGAGAATTGTTGGATTGAGACAGATTGGGGTAACAAAGCAGTTGAGGTAAGTGAAATGGTAACTGGGGAGAGAAGAATGTATACAAAGTAGCCTAGGAAATAACATTCAGCCGCTTCAACTTGAAATAGGAATCCACCTGGAGGAGCATTAAATCTTGTGTCTTCAAATGCTGTTCCCTGGACTGATTCCAGGATGCACTGCCCCCCCCCCCCTTATTTATTTGAACTCAGGGCCCCATTGATCCTAGGCCTTATAGATTTCCAGTGGTCAAAAGCAATGGCAGAATTTATAGTATTGGAAAGAGGCACTGTAGCCAATGAAGTTAATCCAACTGTCCATTGCAGGAAACCAAATGAAAGCAATCTGGATATCCAGCATAGAGTTCACCAATGTGTTTGATAATTGGTTCCAGATTGCTCTTGACATAAGGAAGGCTTTCCTATTATTGAAGAAGAATATGCATTTGCATAACTTTTTAAAACCATTGTTTTTGTGTCCTGGTACTGTAGGAAAATAAAAATGAGATTAATGTCGTCTTTTGCTTGAATAACTTCTGCTCTAGAAGTTTTGGGTGCCTATATAGATTTCTGATGTGCTCCAGGAGTGAAGTGGAGTAAATACCTTATCCCATACATGTCCATAGGCAATTGATTTTTTTGTTTTATAGATAGAGAAATTGATATATTTAAAAAGGATCCAACCTTCCTCTTTTACAATATGTAATCAGACTGGTATTTTATTAAAGGAAAGTACAGTATATTTTCTTTCTTTTGAAATAATAATGAAAGCTTGCGCTTATTGCTGGAACATGGGTATTTTTGTAGGAAGAAATCAAATCATGTTGCACTTCCAAAGTTTTAGAGGAGAATTCTGATTTTGGTGGAGATGCTACAGTATTTTTTTATTAGAACAAAAGAGACCCCACTTCATTCTTTCCCCCATGCATTTATAATTGATAGTCTCCTCCGCCAAGACACTGGCTACAGGAAGAGGGAAAATAATATATGTAGGAAATAAACTTCTTGCCAAGAACCCCCACCTCTGCCAGAATGCCATGATTTTTAAAGGTTTACAATCCCAGAACCTCTATGGTGATTGCTAATGGAAAGTGATGAAAACCGTTTTTCAGATGCATTTATTTTACATGATTATGTACACATTTATGCTGTAGTGGACCCTCTGCTTTAAAACCCATCTCTGTATTTTGATCAGTGTATCTGTTGCATGCTGTTGTGTGCTGTGTTTGAGTTGAGAAGGAGTTATTTTCATTTTCTCCAAATCTGTATTTTTAATAATAAGCACTGAAATTTGGTGCACCATCTTTGCGTGTATTTTCTCTGTTCTATTTTTAAATAAAATGAACAAAAACTTTAACCTGTGTGTGAGAAGAGATTTAACATGCTTGTGTGTTTGAAGAGATAATATATGTGACTTATTTGCTGAGTTGATGTGGTAGCCTAATTTGTGAAGATGCTCTCCTCCCACTTGGAAGCTGAGAATTCAGTCCTAGGTAGCAGCAGATGTTTCTCAGGATGTAGAGAAAATTGCTGCTGTGAACTCCATGTAGGCATCAGGAAGGGCATCCGGCCAATAAACGCTCAGTTCCACCCAGTCACCCCAACTCTGCGCTGAATTAAGGGATTATAGGGTTGTAAAAAAAGGGGGAGTTTTATATGTGAATCTATTCACTGCCTCAATCCTAGGGGATTGCTAATAATAAATACATTACATCGAAACATTAAAATGAAAATTTTCAAATCATAGAGGTAGTTGTAGGGTTTTTTTTTTTTTGCTTATAAGGCAAGGGGCACTTTACCAAAAACTCACTTCTAGTTGTTATTTTATTATTTACTAAAATGGGCCAATGAGCATCATTTTAAAGAGCCCAAGTTACCTATCAGAATTGGCATGTCTCAACTTTTTCTAATCTGGTGTCTTCTAGATACATCGGGATCATATCCTAGAATTCAAAAGTAACAATCCCATTGGCATTTCCATGTTGAATAATCCAAGAAGCTGTATCTGAACAATCGAATATGCCAGATCTAGAAAAAGCAGTTCGAATCACAGCTGCAGCCTCTGTGGTTATCTACAGTAGTAGTCTTTAAATCTTGTTATCCTGGGCATAGGTTTCATTGGACAAAATTCCTGGGGGGAAAAAAGACGACGATTCTCATGTAAGTAGGAAATGTCTACAAGGTGGTCAGAAAAGTCAAGGTGGCAGCCACAACTATGTGGTCAAAGCTTTGTCTTTAATGTAATATGCATCATATATTGCTGCATATATCTTTTTTGAACATAACCTGTATATAAATTATATTTTGTAAGATTCTCCAGTGAGCTAACGGAAGCAAATTGATCGATTTGTCTCCTTTAGCTCACTGGAGAATATAACAAAATATAACCCTTTTTTACAATAATTATTTTTAAATAACTGTCCTAAGATTGATGGTTTTACACAACTTGCAGCTAAATAATAATTGAAGCTGCACAGAACACTATCCACATACAAAGCAAACTACATCACAGCTCAGCATATTGCATGAAAATGCGTATTTAAATCCACATTCTATGTAAATTGCCCATTCAATTTCAGCAGACTGTACATGTAATACTGCAAGGGGGTTCCTGTTAGATGTTCCTTTTGCAATAATAAAAACAGGAAAATCAATCTTGATGTTCTCAGTGGGCTTTCAGCTTTTGCTACCAGTTGTAAGGATCAAATGAATCCAATTTCCATATCTTCCTTATATGCTTAACAGCATCTATCTACTTTCCTAATTGCTTGTGAGTTGGACTGTCTCCTGGGCCAAGTTTCTCCTGGGGAAAAATCCCATTTAACAATGCACAACCATGGCAATTTTAAGACGTAAACTCTCAGAATTCCCAAGCCGGCATTTATCTAAGGATGCAGCGATGGAAGTTCAAATTCAGCTTTGCCAACTTTATTATTTGGGCCTTTTGTCTTGACTATAAGGAAAGGTGCTAAATTTTGACTTCTTGCTTTATTCTAAAATCTGTATATCAATGCATTTCTTTTTATAGTCTACACTACAGACATTTTTGAGCAGGCACCTTCATGGCCATCTTAAAGCAAGCCAGCTGTGTTGCCATGCGAAACCCGGAAGGGACCTGCCCTATTTTATCCAATGGCGAACGCGCATTCCTTCTGTTGTCCTTAACTAAGATGGCGGCGAAACTTTCAGCGTCTATCCAGTGGCGCACACCTTTGACCTCTGCCCATAAAGTCACAGCCGACGTCTTCGCAGATCATGCGCTTTTGGGACTTGGCTTCTTTTCCTTTAAGTAAGATGGCTACCTTGTTCCTTTCTCCCTACGTCTTGCCCTTAGTGGAGACGGCAGGGCTGGCTTCTTTCGTCGATCTGACTCTGCGCATGCGCCAATAACTTTGGAACGATACTTTCTTGCCCGAAAGGAAGATGGCCGCAGCCTGAAGCTGCGAAAAATCAGCTGAGGAGAAGCGACGGTTGGGGTATTCCGCGACCTGCTTTTCTTCTCCTCATGCAACGCCGGGATGCTCTGCTCGAGCGGCTTCTTCCGCGGCATCGAATGTCCCTACGGGCAGGCCTGCGGGAGGCCCTACTGTCACTTCAGACACCCGCCCGGGGCCCAACACACCACCGATGGCCCTATACCGCCTCGACGCCTTTTGGCTCTGTCTGGTCCCAGCAGGCGCCCCGCCACAGTCGGAGGTAATCGGACAGCGTGGTGACCTCCCGTCCAACCGCGGAAAAGGCCCTACTATCCGTGCTCCGTAGCGCTTTTGAACTCGGGAGAAGGGGACGAAAAGCGTCGGCGTCCCTGTCTCGCGTGGGATAAAGGCGGCATGGACGTGACTGGCTTTTCTTACATTAAAGAAATCCCCTGTTCTCTCTGTTACAGTAACCGCCGGCTTTAGAACCCCACCCTGTTTCGTGGGATGGGCTGCGGTCGGTGGGTATCCCTGAGGCGAGGCTTCTTCCTCTCCCTGATCTGGAGAAGGAGAAGAAGCCCTGTTAAGGGTGTGAGGGAATTTCCCGAGAGGGCTTGGGATGGGAGGAAAGCAACGGAGAGCCTTCCTTTTTCCCCCCCCCCGGAGCAAAGTCGATCATACCCCATTGGGGGGGGGAGGTAGTCGGGAGCAGCCATTGACACGCGTGGAGCAGCTCTCCTGAACGGGGGTGGGCGGAACGAAGCCTCCCCCAGGGGAATTACGCCTTCTCCTCTTCCTCCTCCTCCTCCCTAACTCCCATATCGCATCTGCGGGAAGAAGAAGAAAAATAATAATGTGTACGTTCGTAAGTTATTGTAACCAATTCAAGAGGGTTTTTCTTTTTTAAAAAAAGGTTGTCCTGGTGTGTGTGTTTGTGTGTGTGTCGCTTGCCGCCTGTCACCGGCGCCTTCTGGATCCTCGGTTGCTTTGTTTGTACCAGGCTGTTTCCTAGCAAGGCCCTAATATGTAGGAATCCGGTGTCACGAAATGTGGGCGTGGTCATTTGTACAGTTAGCTTTGGGAATGGCCTGGTAAATTTAAAGGAAGCCTCTCTGCATTTGGGGAAAGGTTCGTCCCCTGGCTGCGTGTTGCCTGATGCAGATGGGCAAAAGTAAAAAAAAGGCCACTCTCCTTCCCTGGCCTGCTTCGGTTTAAGCCAGTGATCGTGCAAGATTTTGAAAATTTGGCTAGTCTAGAGCAGGGGTCTCAAACCTTGGCAACTTTAAGCCTGGAGGACTTCCAAGTCCCAGAATTCCTCAGCCAGCAAACCTGGCTGGGGAATTCTGGGAGTTGAAGTCCATCAGGCTTAAAGTTGCTAAGGTTGGAAACCCCTGGTCTAGAGAACAGAAGAATTAGGGGTGGTAGCAGTCTTCCAGTATTTGAGGGGCTGCCACAAAGAAGAGGGGGTGACATTATGCTCCAAAGCACCAGAGGACAAGAAACAATGGTTGGAAACTAATCAAGGGGAGAAGCAACCTAGAACTAAGCAGGAATTTCCTTACTAGACAATTAACCAGTGGAACGACTTGCCTTCAAAAATCATGGGCATTCTATCACTGGAGGTTTTTAAGAAGAGACTAGACCAGGGGTGTCACATGTCACGGTGCCATCTTGTTACATGTCGGGATGTTTTTCCCCTTCACTTAAACCAGGCGTGGCTGTGGGCAGTGTGTGATGCATCCAGGCCGGGAGTTTGACAGCCCTGGACTAGACAGTCACTTATCTGAAATGCTTGAGGAGGGGGCTGGACTAGAAGACCTCCAAGGTCCCTTCCAGCTCTATTATAGTCTAAAAGAAGTTGCCAGCTTGCTTGCTAGATGGCTGCCACAGAGGCTTGTTTTTTTCCATGAAATTGCTGCTGTGTTATACGTGGCCAGTTACCAAACACCAGTTTCCAAGAAGATGAATTGATAAGATATTCCTTACACCTTTGGTTTTATTTTAAACAGTTTTTAAAATTAAATTGGTGGGGAAAGAACTTCGTAGGTAATAGTTATGGGCAGAGTAGAGTGTATATCATGTTTGTTTCTTCAAACTATGCAGATGTAATCTGGCTATAAGATTCTTCCTGCGAGATTATACAGGTAATCCTTGATTTATGACTACAACTGAGTCCAAAATCTCCACTGCTAAGCAAGATAGTTAAGTGAGTTGCACTCCATTTTACAACATTTTTTGGCACCGTAGGTAAGCAAATCTCTTCAGTTGTTAAGTGAATCATATGGTTAAGTAAATGGAGAATTGTAGTGGCGCAGTGGTTAGAATGCAGTACTGCAGGCAAACTCCCTGCTCACTCCAGGAGTTTAATTCTGAGCAGCTCAAGGTTGTCTCAGCTTTCCATTGTTCCAAGGTCGGTAAAATGAGAACCCAGATTGTTGAGGGGCAATATACTGACTCTGTAAACAGCTTAGAGTTGTAAAGCACTGTGAAGCAGTATATAAGTCTAAATGCTATTGCTATTGCTAAATCTGGATTTTCCCATTGACTTTGCTTGTTGAAAACCAGCTGGGAAGGTTACAAATGGTGATCATATGAATTTAGGACTTCACAAATACATGCCAGTTGCCAATTGCATGAATTTTGGTCATGTGACCATGGGGATGCTGCACCAGTTATAAGTGTGAAAATGGTCATAAACCATTTTTGTGAGCGCTATTGTAAATCCAAATGGTCACTAAATAAATGGTTGTAAGTTGAGACTACCTATATGATGTATTTCTTTTTAATTCAATATGTGCATTGCCTTAATTGTTGTGCATCATAATATATTTGTTGATATTGTACATTGCCATTAAGTACTTTATATCCTCAAAGATTTATTTTAAAAATATTAGAGAAGAGGAGGAAGCTTTTCTGGACAAGACTGAGACTAAGCTGAATGTGTATTTAAAAATGACAGACTCCAAGAATGATATGGAAAAATGTTACATTGAATATACCAGTGAAAGTGGCTGATGCCTTAAAAGGGATATACAAATAACAAACCAAAAATACAACCTGGATGACTTCTCTTTATTGGACTTAGAAAGGGACTTGTTAAAATTTTGAAGGATTTTGCGAGAAGGAAGAAAGAAAAATGAAAAGTTCTAGGACAGTACTGTATTTGCAAGGATTATAGATCAAGTTTGTTAAAAATAAAATAAAGGAATATAAAATTGTTATATTTGATTGAGGTTAACTATTAAAACTGGAGAATTTGGTAGTGCATGACATCAAGCTAGAAACTGGGAGACCATGAGTTCTAGGCCCAGCTTAGACCAAATACCAAGAAATGGAAATTATTATCATTGTATTTCCATAGCCAGTGACATCATAAACAAGAAAGCCCTTATTAGGGGACAATCCTTTGGACATTTTGCATCAGCAACAGAGTGAGCAAGACCTCAATTGAAGATCTTAGGGGTTGAGCTGGTATTGTTGAGAGGCCAGTTGCTTTGGTTCTCCTCAGCTTTCATCTAGCTCAGGGGTCCCCAAACTTGGCGACTTGTGCACTCCAACTCTCAGAATTCTCCAGCAGCATAGCTGAAGTCCACAAGTCTTAAAGTTGCCAAATTTGGAGACCTCTGATCTAGCTGGTAGCCATTTTGTTAAGCTATTTGAGTGGTTTCTATTTCCAATTGATCACTTTATGATCTATTCTTTGTTGTCCCAGGTATCAGTATCAGACTGACTGCTGATGTCTGGTGCTTTCCCCTTTCCAAAGATGTGTATAGTGGTCACATTTTAGTAATTGGGTAATTCATAAATACATGCTAACCTAAGTTATACTCAGTGAGTCTTGCTATTCTATTTATATGCCACTGCTATTCAAATATAACTCTCAGTGGTTAACATAAGAATACAAAAGAATACAAAAAAAATACTCATGGTAAATTATAAAATAACCATAAACTCAGTTAAAACAATGCAAATAAGCCAATAACCATGCATAAATGCCTTCAGTTAATTATTCCCAACCAGTCAGCTCAATGCGTTTAACACACATGATGCCATCTTAAAGCACAAACACACTTAGAAAGAATTCAGTTTTCAACATTTTCCTAAATGAAAACAAGGAGGTGGTATTCCAAAAAATGGGTGATGTCATTGAGAAATAGCAGTTTCTATGTTCAGTCCCCTCCCTTTCTGGAAAATTGGGGCTATTTGTTTGTCCTGAAATGCAGCATTGGCTGGAGCTATCTTGGTTGGAGTATGCAGTCCTGGAGGTATCTAGATGCCATGCTTCTTTTTATATCAAACCAGCACTTTAAATTGCTTCTATAAGCCTATAAGGGTCTAGTTGTAGGGCCTTTCACAAAGGCGTAATGTGCTTCTGATAGCAGGTGCTAGGATATACATAGTTGCTGCGTTATGAATCAGGTTCAACTTCCATGTAGTTTTAAACTATATAGTTTATAATGTGAAAATTTATCTACTATACATTTGGAGATTTAGTGTATGTGAGATGCTTGTTCTGAATGTGAACTACTTAAAAAAAAACACTGGGGCCGTTTAAGAGGGAAGTACCTTTTTAACAGCGGTGTATGGGAAGGTGGGACTAACAAGCTTCCTGTCTGCTGTCCTGCAGCCTTGAACAATCTTTGCTGTTCAAGACTTGGCAGTTGTACAGTAGGGCGTATTTTGATAGCTTGGTGTGTTAGGATGGCTGTAGAGTGCAAAGAAGACATTTAAAAGGGGAAGAGACCTTTGGATGAAAGTATGAACAAGTACCTCCATTGTCTGTCTGTGCATGAGAACCCAGGTAAAAAGAGAAAAGAAAACTTTTGTCCAATGATTATTTTGCCTTTTATATGTCAGAAAGAAATAACTGTGGCAGTCTTTTTACATACTGGCTGAAACCGTCTTACCAAAGAGCTGCTTAGTTTTATACATTGGTGGGCTATTTAGCTCTTTTTTGCCACCTGTGTCCAAAACATTGGTTAACGTGTTGCCTTTTAAGTCATTCTGGACTTATATATTAAAATATTTAGGAAGAGTTTAGAAATCAATTAAATAGCATCATCTAGTTGTATATAGTCTTAGGTAGAAAAGGAAATATTACTTATATTCTTCAGTCTTCCCCTTACAGCTTTTAATAGCAGAACAGTATTTATTGTCTGAGCAATTAAAATTGCATTAAGTGGTTAAAATGTTACATGGCAAATGTGGTATGGAAGGAAATGATCCGAGTTGTGAAATGTTTATGCATTTTGGGTCTTGGTAGGTATTTATTCAATGAACGAATGTATCCAGAATTTAAAGTGACATTTGTACAGATAGTATTATTTTCCTGAGCTTTTCCCAATGACACTGACTAACTTTAGGAACACGAAAAGCTTCCTTATATGAAGTCTATTCTTATAGATTTGATCTATTGTCAGTGATGGCAGTTTTTCAGAAATTCAGACAGAAAATGGACTTTTCCAATACTTGTTAATCTGAAACTTTTAACTGCTTAAGAAATGCTTAAGTTTTTTAAAAAAATAGGCTACTAAAATAACACATTTGTAGGTTTTGAGATCTGGTTTGACCAACGTTCAAGTACTCTTGTGCATATAAAGGTCTTTCTTTACTAATTATAGACATGTTAAATTTTGAACTGCAGATGTTCAAGAATGATTCAAAGCCTTACCATGTGTTTAAATGCAGATTTTGGAGGAGTGAAACTTGCAAGGGTTTCTAAAGTAATTTTTGAGTTGCAGTTTCAATAAAATCTTTCTGAGGTTCTACAGAGCATGAGGTAGCCATAAATGTATTTCTGTGCACATTTCAGTCTGTTTTTGACTCCTGATGACTGCCTAAAAAAGGCTGTGTAGTTTTTCTGGGAAAGTGTTTGCCATTGTCTTCTTCTCAGGGCTGAGAGATAATGATCTTCATAAGGTCATCCAGCTGGCTTCATGCCTAAAGCAGGACTAGAACTCATAGTCTCGTGGCTCCTAACCTGGTGCCTTAACCATTTAAACTGGCTCTCACAAATGCTTAGACCTGCTCAAAACAACATTTTAAGTTTTGAAGTTTGAATAACTTCCATGTGTAGATTTATTCATAAATATGGTCTGGAGGAAGAGTAGAAGAAGATTGTGCTTTTAGGTGTGGAGGTACATTTGTCTACAGTGGTCTTACCTTTAGTTTTCAAGAGGGGAAGAAAAAGTGACAAACAAGAAGCTGATTTTTTTAAGAAAGGAGTTGGATATAGCTTTTTTTAAGCAATATTTTTCCCCCTAGAACTTTTCTTGTAATAGATGCCCTATTTCAGCTTGTTCTGGGGAGTCTTTGCTAATATTTCCAAAGACATTAGTTAGATGAGATGGAGCTCAATTCCTATTGCTAAGCTATTCCTTTCTCACAATGCAAGGTCGATCTGTTCCTGTCTCCTAGAGTCCTGAACATTTTTAAACAATTTAGCAACAGTGCTGCTCATATGGTGGTGGCATGTATCAGAGGGCGTTGTGCAACTTTCTTCCCAGTCTTATCTTTTCTCTTTGCACATGTGGCTAAGGAAGAGGGTCTGAGATGATAGTGAGACTTCTGAACTATCATGGCTAATGGCTGTAGGTGAACTTTCTCTGTGAATGTTTATGAAACCTCTCTTAACTCTTATCAAAGCAGTCTCCTTAAGCTAAATACAGAACTCATCTGCATTGTGTGAATCTACGTTTTTCTTTCTACTGTAAAATATTGGAATTATCAGGTAGAAATATGATATGAAAGAGATGGTAGAACTCTCCTATATTTCCCCCCACATCGGGTATTCAGTTAGAAATTAAAACACACTTCTTCTTTAAAAAAAAGTTCATGACGCTCGTTTACTACGAACTGGAAGTGAACATGACTTTTGCGTGTCTCCTTTTCATTTGTGCTCCAAATGAAACATGCTCTTCCAGTCCTTGTTTGCTGACTGTTTTTTGTTGGCTAACATTCCTTCAGCTTTCTTGCAATAGTCCTGTGGTTTTCTCTCTCATTTTGGACCATAGCCTCATTATTGGTGTGTGCTAATTCATGTCCTGCTTTTGAGTGCAGTTCTTCTGTTACTGTTTGGAGGACTAGTTTCTCTGTAATAGATTTATCTTCTATCACTGTTAGTTATGTTAGTATTAGGATCTCCCATAGGAACCTGATAATCCGATTAGCTGAGATTTACTCCTGGATCCTGTTAGAAACAAGGTATACCTAGTTACAATTCCTCACTTTCTTCAAGATCAAGTAGTTGAAACTTTCCATTATTTTCACAAGCCAATGTGAAATACTAGTCAGTGCTAACCCATCCTAAGTTCTTTGCTTGAGACCAAAGACTTTGCATAAGACTGTCTTATATATGGGGTGTTGAAGTTGCATATTATCAATTTTAGATAGGAGGAAAGATAGGAGGAAAGATCTGAAAAGTTGTTCATTTATAAAATGTACATGCCGCCCATCTCACTGTTGAAGCAATTTCAAATTTAGATAAGAAATTCCAGCATCTTCATGTTACAGCAGGGATTTGTGTCCCAAGTCTAAAGAAAAGAGGGAGAAAACACAAACGTGTCTTCAGCCATACCTTTATGCAGTGAGGCTGGCTGGCCTAACAGGAATGGTTGCTGATGCAGACCGTTCTGAGGGCCATATGGCAGTTGATTCTTTTCCTTCTCATTTTTTATAATCGAATGCATTTTTATAATTGGGATTTGATGGGTATTCTGGGAATGATTGATGCTAACCTTGTTTTTCTTCCTTTTCCAGGGTCTGGTTATGACCCCTACAACCCAGAACTTCCCAAACCTGTGGCACAAGACAGCAATGGCACTTTGGAAAATATTGTCTCGTCAGCTTCTGGAATTCTGGAGCTTGAGCTGTTTGACAAGGCAATTGAAGCTGCCAAGAATGAAGTTGAACGTGAGCAAAAGAAGTATGAGGAGCTGCTGGAGACAACTAAAGAGTATGGTTCATCTGAACCCCCTTTACTTGCTTCTAAGGCTGCTGGATTAGCAACATCCAATCCATTCAGTTCTCTGGAGTATAGTCCAGGCAGTTATAATGCAAACAGTGGTAATGATTACAATCCTACTCCTCTTGCAGTGGCTGCTTCTAGTCAGTCTAACAAATATACTTTGGACTCCTTCAACAATACGAAATTCAAGGGTAGCTCACTGGAATATGTTCCCACTGTGGTCACTCAGCCGAAGAAGTACAGCAGCCCTGTTGTAAATAGAAAATACATAATTGACAACTCCAAGCCTTCAACAGATTTAGAATATGATCCTCTTTCAAATTATTCTGCCAGACTGTTGAGCAAAGCTAAAGAACAGAAGGGGACCAAGCGGAAGAGAGAAGTTGATCACGAGGAGGCATATTCTCCTTCATTCAAGAAATATTGTGACGAAACAAGCAACGATGAGCCCATCGCCCGGTTCTCTGACTCGGAGGATGAATGCTACGAAGCTTCTACCATCCCCCTTAAATCTAAAGGAGGTTCAGAAAGCAAACTGGGTGCAGCCAAAGAAAAGGGAGCCCCACAAATAGATGCCAGTTCCCGACAAATGAAAGAGACTGCCGTGCAGTATGACATGGGAGACATTGAGAGCCCTCAGAGAACTGCTGTCAAAGATTTAGTGGAGAAAAATGCCAAGTTGGTCAAAGTGCCTTCTAACCGAGATGCGAAAGCAAAGGAAAAGAACAAAGTGGCATCAAAGGATAAGTTGAAAAAGAAAAAGGAGGATGACCGCAAGGTGCACGGTAAGAAAAATCAAGATAAAATAGGGGACAAGGAGAAGATGAATGTGAAGGCACAGCACAAAAATGGGGAAAGGAGTAAGGAGAAACCATGCAAGTCCCATGTTGATAGGCATGCACTGAAGCTCAATAAGCCAAAATCTGTGATTTCACCTGGAATTAAGGAGGAGAACTCTGGCAAGAACAAAAATGTCAGCAAAGCTACTGCTACTGAAAAATCAGGGACTAGTAGGAAAGATGGCAAGTTCCAGCCTGTAGAGTTGAAAAGGAAGCCCCAAATCTCTAGTGGAACTGAACACAATAAGAGAAAAGACAAACAACCTGCCTTGAAAAGGTCTAAGGAAACATTGATCAACTCTCAGGCCAAGAAGGAGGTTAAGCGCAAGGTTAAACAGCGGTCCCTGAGCCATGTTGATCTCTTTGGTGATGAGAGTGGAGAGGAGGAGCAGGTGAGCCAGCGTCCTCTTCCATTCCCTGATGTGAGTTCAGACTCGGACAGAGATGATGCTGATTTCTCTTTGCCCTGTGACAATGGGATGGCAAATGTTAAGAAACTCAAGTTATCCCAGGCTCCTCCTGCTGCTTCCTCTTCCTCCTCTTCTGATGATGAGATTGATTATTCTGGCCTAGAGAAGGATTTGGATTTTGAGACTGACCCGATGGAGGAGTGCCTTCGGATATTTAATGAATCCACCGATGTCAAAACGGAAGACAAAGGCAGACTAGGAAAACAGGTAAAGATCTAAGAAGGCTGGGATGGGCTGATGAGTTAACAGGCTCTGCAACCTGTTTAATTAAAAACATACCTCTTGATCGAATCATTTCTGAACGTGATGTCACTGGGCCTACCCTTGAATTTTAAGGTTTACTGAAAATATAAATGATTTGACATATTGAGTGTGTTATGAAAGGAACATCTTCAGGTAGTCCTCGATTTAGAACAGTTGTTTTAGTGACCGCTTGAAGTTACAATGGCACTGAAAAATGTGACTTATTGGCGATTTTTCACACTGATGACCGCTGCAGCCTCCCCGTGGTCACATGATCAAAATTCATAACTGACTCATATGATAGTTGCAGTGTCCCAGGGTCAGGTGATCACCTTTTGAAACCTTCTGATAAACAAACTCAAGGGTCTGCAAACTTGACAAGTTTAAGACTTGTGGACTTCAACTCCCAAAATTCCTGAGCTAACATGACTGGAGGAGGAATTCTGGGAGTTGAAGTCCACAAGTCTTAAACTTGCAAAGTTTGAAGACCCCTGAGCAAACTCAATGGGGAAACGAGATTCGCTTAAAAACCGTGTTACTAACTTAACAGCTGCATTGATTCACTTCACAATTGTGGCAAGAAAGGTCGTAAAATGAGGCAAAACTCACTTAACAAATGTCTCACTGAGCAACAGAAATTTTGGGCTCAATTGTGCTTGTATGTCAAGGACTAGCTGTAGAACACTTTTAAGTGATGGTAGTTTCTTTAGAGTAGATGATGATGACGGCCTCTTTCATTCCATACATTCTGTGAGTTTGGATTTTCTGGCAGTAATGTGTTATAGGTTCCCACAGGGGGAAAAAAAAGGTAGCCAAAGGTGTCATGAAAGGAACTGTAATATATAGAAACATATTTTAGTATATAAAAACAGTAGAAATTGGGTCATAAAACAATTTTGCATTTCAAGGATGGTTGGCCCTTGGCTTGCAAAGTAATTCGTGTAGCAAGCAAGATATTGACTGAATTAGAGATAAATTTGCAAAGACCCTTGGAATTGCTTAGGGGTTTGGAGCAGTTTTGTTGCTTGATGCCTAGTATACTTCATGCTTTAGGAATTATATTTTCACTGTGTAATTATAGAGGAAGACATTGAGTGAGAGAAGCCTGTTGACTCAAGCAACAGAGCTGCTTCACTGTTTCCTTTCCTGAAAAAGCCTGTAGCTCAGACGGCAGAGAACTTAATGCTCCTTGTGGAAAGACGTAAGATTCATATCCTAGCATTTTTAATTGGCAGTTGATGGGGAAGGGCCTTCCTCTGCTGGAGGTTCTGGAAAATCACTGCTAGTCAGAATAAAAACTGGGCCAGACCATTGGACCACCTAGGGAAGTCATTTCCCAAGTTCATGTGGCTTCTGTAATCTCTTCCAATATGTGATACAGGTACTCCTCCATTTACAACCATTTGTTTAGTGAACATTTGACGTTAACAAGGGTACTGAAAAAAGTGACCTATGACTGTTTTTCACACTTATGACTGTTGCAGCATGCCCATGGTCACCTGATCAAAATTCAGATGCTTGGCATATTTATGACGTTTGCCTTTTGCGACCTTCTGAAGAAGCAAAGTCAATGGGGGAGTCAGATTCACTTTACAATTGCAGCTACTCACTTAACTGCAGTAATTCACTTAACTGTGGCAAGATAGGTTGTAAAATGGAGCAAAACTCACTTAAAAAATGTCTCACTCGGCAATGGAAATTTTGGGCTCAGTTATGGTCGTAAGTTGAGGGCTACCTGTATTGGTGAAATTATGGGTGTGTCAATTATGTACATCACGTATTCAAGTACAGTGGACCGAACATGAATTGTTTTTTAAAAGTATCCTTCTTTTAAAAATTGCTATCCTACAGTAGCAATTCTTTTTTAAAATGTACAAAGTTTCTTGGATTAAGAGGTTACAGATCCATAAGGTGCAAGGGAAGACCAAATAAAGTTATTTGCTTGTCTGTAAAAGTACTGTAGAAAATTCAGCAATAAATTTTCCCCAGTCCTCCAAATGGGTCCACAGCAGGTGCAGAAGTCCCTGCCAGTTTCAATCTCAATGTATCTGGAAGGTGGTTACCAAAGAATATAAGAGACCATTTCTTCTTCTTTGCCCTATGAAAATGAGCATATCTTCCCCCTCCCCAAACACTGTAAGCTGTTGCTGGCAGTGCTGACCTGTTCTGTTTTTCAAAATAAGCTTTGTGATTTTGTTGTTTTGAAAAGTACCCAATATCAAATCTACAACTAATTTGGAAATTTACTTTTTCTCTCTCTCTTCCCTTTCCTTTAGCTATCAAAAGAGGAAGGGGTTGAAGAAAAGTTGACAGAAGACAGTTTAACCACACTCTTTCCTGGACAGAAAAGAAGGATTTCTCATGTAATGAAGCAAGGACATGTAAGTAGATCTTGTAATGGCATCCGAAGCTTGTCTGTGATGCAGTCTTGCCAATCTCTATTCTTATTGATGAGATTTTGGGGGCATATTCCCATGTCCAGCCAAGTAATGTGAGGTTGTGAATGTAGTGTTGAAACCTAGTACCTGTGGATTCCCACAGGCCTTGATGATGTACACTTCTGCGTTTGTGGTTTTTAGACACGTGGTACAATAGCACTCAGGACATCTTTGAGCTGTCTAACTTAACACTGTTTCTAGTATGTGATATTCTAGAAATAGCTTTGCAATTTTCAGGGTGATCCTAAACGTGTAGCCTTTCGTTTTGTTTGTATTCCTGTTGCTGTAAGATATGAAGAACGTTAAAGAGAATCTAAGTTTTTATAGGTAACATTCACATATAAATATTGAGGATCCCAGCTAATTTAGAAGTGGGGAATTCCCTTCTTCCTTAATAGCTGCTTCACCCATAAACTTTGGAGGCCTTGCTGCATGCTTCTGTACCACCAGCTGTTTAGGAGAAGGTGCAGTAAGAGGCCTTCTTTGCCGTGGCAGCTAAGAATTTAGAAAGGCAATAAAGCCACATATAAAATAACAGATCTTTCCCTGGGCTTTATTTTTTTTAAGGCATGCTTGGTTTTATGCTGTTGCCCAGTTAAAGTTTTGATTGTAGCTGTTCGTCAATTTGAGTTAGTTGTATTGTATGTGATAGGTTTTAATTTTCGTGTTTGCTTATTTGAAGCACATTCTTGCCGATTTGGCATTCTATTGGCTGAATTCAGTTACGTTATAAAATTGCAGGATTTAGATGTGTTCTAAAACAACAAAAAAGCCCCCTTTCAATGAAGTGAATTCAGAACAAATCAGTCATTTGTTTTCTTCTGTTGGGATTAAATAGTAGCGAAGAACAGTAGTTTAGGTAACCACCAGTATTTTTCAGAGTATTTACCTCATTTCTGAGATTGATAATGTGATCTGCAGATGTTCCATTTATTTAAACTATTCTTTCTTTGCAGAAATTATTTCTAGCTTCCTTGCCCTTGAAAATGTGTTCTCTATATTTGTTGATTTGCAGGTTGAAAACAAACCTTTTTTTAAAAAAGTGAAGTAAGGAGATTTTAGTTGCTGGGTCTTAGTTGTGTGCGTGTGTATATGCAAACCTTGATTAGCCTCTTTTCTGGAACATCAATGGGCTCTTTGTTTTCACAAGTCAGGCCTTTTTGGTCACCGCACACAACATTCCAGCCGATTGTACATGTTCCTTCCATTTGTCCATTAAGCACTGTTGCAGAGTAAGAGAGAAAAAAGTGCTCTTGTGAAATGGATTGGAAATTCTGAAATTCAAATATTTGCAAGTTCTTAGCACATCTGCTGTTCCCAAACCCCTTTTGCCAAGGTGTATCGAGGTTCAGCACCTGTCTTCAGTATGAAAACATCGCAGGTGGACAAATATGTCCCTGAAATGTGTAGATGGAACATTGTTTGCACTGTCTTCAAATCCTCTTTGCTTCTGTTCTGTCTCGTATGAGTGAATCATATACTCATGATTGGTAAGGCCAATCTGTCAGGGTTCCAAGTAATGACTCCGTAGAAAGCAGAACTCCAAGGCGTACAAGTTCCTCAAAGAACAATTTTATTGGAGATATGCTGGCACAAGCTGGTGAAAACCGACTCTGAAAGTTCCCGTGCTTTTCACCTGATTAAAAAGTGAAACTTCCCCCTTTCCCCAAACCATCAGTCACATTGTCCATTCGAGGGGCTGGCTGGTTGCCTGGATACTGTGCTCCTCCTTTGTCCAGCCACCTCTTAGAATGTCCTTGGTTCCCATAGGAAACTATTTTGTTTTGGCTACAAACCCTCATCTAACTATGTTCCCTCTCCGTATCCCTTCTTCACCCTGTGGGAAGCCTCCAAAATGGCCCCAGCCAGGTTCGCTTTAGAGTTGACGCAATCATTCTGATCCAATTCGAAATACATGGATCCAGATTCCACACATGGCAAGCTTCTCCTTTATCACGCAAACCAATGTCCCTCCATTTCCTTTTCAGGTGGAAGTCCCAAGCAAGCCAGTGATCCGGCCTTACCGGCCCCCAACTGCCCAAGAGGTCTGTTACCAGAGGATTCAGCTAGCGCAGAAGCAGGCAGCACAGCTGGCCCAGCAGCGGCCACAGCGGCCCCTGCCGAACGCAAACTTTCCTGTGGCACCCCAAAGAACCTCCATTGTTATGCAGAAAGGAGAAAGGAAGCGAGTTGCTCATGTGCCCAGTGTGGCTCTTTCAGCAGTCTCCAAGTTGGGCAAGTGAATGTTTCTGGTTTATTTTTTTTCTTGCAGAATTCTTCATTCTTTTAGGAGAAGCAAGGCAGAGGATCCTCATCTTTTGACCTGCTGAGGGGGACCTTGAGTCAACTGAGCGGTCTGAGGGGAAAGAGGAGGAAGGCCATGAGGATGGCTACACCTCTCTCCGTAAAGACTCCCCAAAGGCATGTTGCTCCCATAATCAGAGTTTTGCAGTTCAGTCATGAAAAAGGAATGAAGCTAACTTCTACTCCTGTGCTGTCTGTAGATGTCTCTTTATATTCATGTATTTTAATTCTGTTTTGAGTCCAGTATACAGTCTCTAGTTGTACGTTCCCCAGGTAGCAAGTCCCTTGCAGGGAAAACCAGGTTCTTTGTATCAGTTTGGCAAGAATATTAACCCATGGCTAGATAAGTACACCTTTTATCGTTCCGTTTGTGCCTTTAGTCTGGTGTATCCTTTTTTGTTTTGTCTCTCTTTCCCCCACTCTCTCTAATCCAGCAATAAGTAGCAAATGTGCAAGCTGGGAACTTTTTTACTTATTTATGTTTTTACATGTTCACACCTTATCAATGCTGAGACCTTTTTCAGACTTCGTACATTTCACTAAACAGAGTGAAAGGATAACAAGAACATGTAAAACAGGAAGTAAAGTAATAACCTACTTGGGATACCCGAAGAGCTAGAGCAGAACAAATCTCACTAAATGATAATGATTATTGTACCCTTGATTGAGTGGCAGCTGCATGTGAATAAGGTGTGACTAGTTCAGCCGGCATTAACATGGCCCCTTACAGATGACTTAGAACTTCAGCTACCAGATTTAGTAGCAAAGATGAGCAAAGGCTGGCAGAGAATTCTGGGAAATGCAGGAGTGGGTGTCAGGACTCCATGTACTTGGCCCAACAGCATCAAAATTCCAAGGCAGGCAAGTTCCTGAAAGAATAGATTTATTAGGCACATCATATTGGCACATCTGGGGAAACCTGACTCTGAGCCCCCTTTGGCTTTCCCTTTAATTCAAAGTAAAGTTTTCCCTCCCCTGCCCAGGCAGTTCATCACATGGTCCAATCTGGTCATTCAGTCTGAGACCCCACCTCTTTGCACCTGGTGGGAAAACTCTTGGTTCTCAGGAGAAAGAATTTTATTATGGCTACAATCCCCCAGCCCATCTCTTCTTCCCCCCTCCCATTCCCACAGCTTGACTTTCTTCGCTGTGGCAGCCCTGAAGAGCCAAGGGGGAAAATGAATCCTGGGCTGGCAGAGGTTTTCGACACTTATTTCAGTCTTCTTTTCAACTCTCCCTAAATCAGGTGTGTCCATCCTTGACAACTGTAAGACTTGTAGACTGCAACTCCCAGAATTCTGGGAGTTGAAGGCCACAAGCCTTAAAATCACCAAGGTTGGACACCTCTGCCCTAAATGGTCCACCAGAAGTCGGCAGGTCAGTCCTCATCCTTTCCATAACTTACATAATTCTAAGACTTTGTAACACGTTTCAGAATTTTGCCCTACTTCTGAATATTGTCCTTTTCTGCCCACACCCTTTCAGTTCCTGGAAATCTTAAGAAGATCATCCCACCTGCACGTGTGGCATCTTCCAATGGTCTTGATGCTTCAGCATTGAAAGCTCGAACGCTGACTGGGATGGCATCTAAAACAACTACCACAGGTGTCCCAAAAAGGATAGCACATACTCCCACTCTGCAGGTGATGAATTGCCAGTATATGGTTCATAGCTAATTTTTCAAATTGAACACATTGCCCTGCATGCTGTTTTAGCCTTTAACTATTTTATATTTTAGGCTTTAACTTTAACGTTTGGAAGTCAAAGACTATTGAAGATAAGCACTTGTTCAAGATTGTGCTTCCTTTTGTCTCCTCTAGGATTTATCGTCCAGCTTTGCGTGTAAAAGATATTTGAGTCATTCCTAAGCAGAATTTTGGATCATTTGGGAAGTTTCAATAAAGGAGAGAATATAGTTCAGGGTTGAAATGAGGGATCCTTGGTGCTCTCTGAGTTTGGTTGTTTTCTTGCAGACGTTTCATTACCCAAACTACATCAGCAGTGCTAGCAGATGTAATGAAAGATCTGCAAGAAAACGAGAGAGAACACCAAGGACCCCTATTTTGAGAAGTTTTATTCCGATGGTTTTGAATGTTGTTTGAAAAAAAAAAAACCACATGAAATTTGATTGACTCACCAATGAACCTCGGCAGTATGATCTTGTGGGCTGTGGGATACTGCAGAAGGTTGACCATTGGACCACATGTGGCTCATAGCTCATATATAGCTTAGTAGAAGAACCAGTCAGAGACAGGAAAGGCATTGTAGTAACTGTGCTACCAAAATAGCTTATTTTCTTTTCCCTTTTCCATGTTCTCTAGAGCACCGCCTTGAAAAGGCCAGTTATTCCCACAGAATACGGTGCCAAAGTTCCCACAAACATCCGTCAGAGGTACCTCAACCTCTTCATTGATGAGTGCATGAAGTTCTGCCCCTCCCAGCAGGGAGCATTTGACAAGGTTTGTGTTTTTGTAATGGTCATGATAGCAATGGCAATAAGACTTCTGTACCGCTTCACAGTGATCTTATAGCCCTCTCTAAGTGGTTACAGAGTCAGCCTATTGCCCCCAACAATCAGGCTCCTCATTTTACCCATCTCGGAAGGATGAAGAGTTGAGTCCACCTTGAACCTGGTGAGATTCAAACTGCTGGCAGCCGGCAGTCAGTAGAAGTAGCCCGCAATACTGCATTCTAACCATTGCACCACTGCGGGTCTTAGGAGGGATGCTTGAGCATTCTTATAGTTTGCACTTCTTTAACTGTAGGCCTAAATCACAGAGGAATTGAATCACTTTTAAAAAAAATTGGAAGTTCACTGAGCAAACATATTTGCAAGTTCAAATTTAGGACAGCCAGCCCAATGTTGAGCTTCTTTTTTTGAATAGTAAGAGAATCACAGGTCTACATTTCTTACCTTGTTTTTAGAAGTACTGTTCTCTGTGTTACAAACACAGGTAGTCCTCAAATTATGACTGCAATTGAATCCAAAATTTCCATTGCTAAGCAAGACAGTTTTAAGGGAGTTTTGCCCCATGGTATGACACTTCTTGCCCAGTTGTTAAGCGAATCACTGCCATTGATAATAACACAGTTGTTAAGTGAATCTGGCTTGCCCCTTGATTTTGTCAGAAGGTTGCAAAGACCCCAGGACACGGCAATTGCCAAGCGGCTGAATTTTGATCACGTGACCATGGGCGTGCTGCAGTGATCTTAAGTGTGAAGAATGGTCATAAGCCGCTCTTTTCAGTGCCATTGTAACTTTGAACAGTCACTAAACAAATGGTTGTAAATTGAGGACTACTTGTAGAAACTTTTTCTTCCTGCTTCTCCTTGTTGATGAATATGTGGCCATTCTCCTTGACATTGGAAGCCACCCAATCTATATATTATATATATATTCTCCCTAGCCTGGGAACTGCTCCTTCCCCCCTTAGCAACTTCATTTTGTATTTTAAAACTAAAAAAAAAATGCTGATGGTGGGAATGCTGTTCACAGGCTCTTGCTGAGGAGAAGGTGGTGTATGAGCGCAGCACCAGCCGCAACATCTACCTGAATGTGGCAGTAAACACTTTGAAGAAGCTGAGGACTCTGTTGCCCAGCCCTTCTCAGGAAGTTCAGAGTATGTACTTAGACTTTACTTCTTTCTTAACAGGCTGAAGTTTCTCTGCTACTTTACATTTCATTTTATTCTTTCCTTATAGTCTCAAACCTCCATTTCTAGACATTTGGAGCTTCTTAACAAAACACACTTCAGGCTTGCACAATAGACTGGGCAAAAGACTGCCTACCAATCCAACAGGACATAATTCTGTGGGCAAAACTTTCATAATGCATCTCTTGGCCAGCCCCATAACGTCTGTACAAATAGACACAGGTTTAGCTGGTTGCACTGTAGTATTATGCCATACATTGTCTTGCCCACAAACTGCTGCTATTACAAATCTTATTTAACACATTGGCAAAGGGGGTATGTGATGTTAAATCCTAAAATAATTATGGTACTCATTATCACTTCTTCCTGAGCTTAATATTCGCAGTGTGTGTGCCTTTGACTTTTAAAGCAGCAGCCAGTGAATAGAGATCTGTATAGCACTTTCTTTGACTCAGAAATTTTATTTGTAGTTGTCCCAGGATGTTTGCTGATGTTCTAGTTTGACATCTGCCTTTTTCTTCCAGAGGCCAGCAATAGGAAAGTGGTTTCTCATGAAGCTATGCTAGGAGGGAAACTGGCAGCCAGGACCAGTTATACACTTAATCGTTCTACAAGCTTACGGCTAGAAGACCTGACAGGTAGGTTTCCCCCTTTTTTTCATCGCACACAGTGATTGTGGTGGGGGTGGGGGGTGGGGGGTGTAACTCTATTCCTTTCTGTCTGTTTTAAAGGCCTTCAGATTGATTTTAGAAGTAGGCTGATTGTTTTTCAGTATCAGAGAACTGATAGGATCAGTGTTGAAAGCCAATTCAGAGCTATTTAAAACTATAAAAAGCACAGAAAAGCTGTGGAGAAGAATGGGCTGAGGTCACTTTTTAGAGGCTCGTTGATGCATGGTATGTGTGATTCTTCTAAATGTCCCCCTTCAGTTAGACCAGATTTTATCCTGTAGGCAGGGCATTTCATGATAAAAATGCAATTAACCCCAAGTAAACCTGTTGTTCTGTTAACACCTTCCATGATACATTGCAGAAATTGTAAATAATCTAATCTGTATCAGTTTTGTATGTGGATAAAGCATTAGCTTTGAAGCAAAACAAGTTGCTTTTTTTAATCAATCACATAAACGGTTGGTAGATATTCCAAGTCTGTGTGGGGATAAAAATAATCCTTCAAGTTGCGTGGTCCTAAGTTCTGAATGTGGTGTCTTTGCAAATGCATTCTGTCTTGCTGAGAGAATTGGTATCAGCAGTCAGAACTTCATGATTCTTCACTTACATAATGGATTGTGTAAAACCATGAAGGTTTGGTACGGAACCCAAACATCCACCGACACATTGATGGGATCTAAGATGTCTCGTAACTAAATGAGAAAAAAGCTCAGTTCAAAGTGGATAACTCAGTGGTTTTAAAAAGGAAAATTCTCTGCTAAGGATCATTAGGAAACAGATTGAACAATCTGAAACCTTGAATACCACCTTCCTTACAAGAAAAGGCAAGAATACGGGTAGTCCTCAAGTTATGACCACAATTGAGCCCAAAATTTATGTTGCCATAGCATTATGTGCTCTTCGTATATACTGTTATCTATGTGTTCTATGTCACATGCTAAATAAATAAATAAATAAATAAATAAATAAATAAATAAATAAATAAGCAGCTAAAACTGCTGAGAATTATGGCCACATGACCGTGGGATATTGCAGACATAAAGCCGTAAAGGTGAGCTGGTTGCCAAGCACCCAAGATTGGCCACTGGGCGGAGGGGGGAAGGGGTGGTCATCAGAACTTCATCAGAACTTCAAAACAGGTCATAAATAGCACTGTCCATCAAACAATTGCTAAGCAACCAGTTGGTAGGGAAGGACTACCTGTAACTTTAAATTCATGAAGGACAGATCTACCAGGATTACTTATTTCTGTCTTGGAATCCATGTATTGGACGAACAAAGTTACAAGAGGGATATGTCTTTTTTTTTCCAATTTTTTTTTAAATTTTTTACACATCTCTTCATGTGAGCAATGTGATTCCAGATTACAATATTTATACACAGTCATAGTTACACTTTCAACTTTCTTAATATCACTTCAAATTATTATCCATTCGACTAATCTTTAGATCAATTTCCCTGTCATATTTCAATTCATTAATTCAATATCAAAATCATTTCATTCTCGCATATATTTTCAATTCTTTATCCCCTATTATTTCCATTTTCAGCTTACCACCTATTTTATGTTACCTTATGTATTGTTATCATCCATAACTTTCTCAAGACCAATATATAATTAGACAGTCAGGGAAAGAAAAAATGAGTAAAAGTAAAGTAAGATTAATACGTTTAGGAACCACATGGTATATCCCCCCATCTACAATATATCTTATATCTATTCCAGAGATATTCATATAATCATTTCATATTTTTTCTTTGTTTCCAAAATTTACCTATGTAATTTTAATAAATTTTCATTCCCCTGCTTTTGATTATAATTCATTCATTATAAATATTTTACATTCCCACATAATCCCTTCTAGTTCATCATCTTTTCTATGTTCTCATATCCTTTGTATAATCAATTGTATTTTCTATTTCATGTATACCACAAAGAAAAAAAAATAAAAACAGAGTTAATTTCCCCTTTTACTTCCCTTTGAACAATTTCAACCTATAGCATTTATATAACCCTAATTTACACTTTTTAAACATAATTAATACCAGATTTTCACCCGTCATCATATTCTCTGTTTTCCTAGTATCATTTAAATAGTCATTAGCATATTTTAGAATATGTATGTATATGTGTGTGTGTGTGTGTGTGTGTGTGTGTGTGTGTGTGTGTATATATATATATATATATCTCAAAAAGAAAGGATTAATAACAATAGAACCTCTTCATATCACTCACTCCATTTTCATTTTTCTCATCTATAATTATCTAATAATCTTAAGGTAATTCCCAGTAAGTTATAAACTTCAAATCTCCCCAGTCTACATTTCTAATAGAAAACACAAAGATACATTTCCCGTGTGGTGTCCCCCTTTTATGCTATATCTAACCCTTATCTCTAAATCTCTCGGCCTTGTTTTAGCCAGCTTTCCCTTTGCTAAGTTTTCCTGGCCTTTTCTCTTTATCCCTCTTTTTTCCTCTAATATTACATTTATTTCCATCTGCCAGTCCCCCATCTTTCCTCCCCCCCCCCTTTCCTTTTCTCTTTTTTGAAATTTCTTCTTGTACAGCTTCTTCTTCTTTTGTTTACTCTTGGGAGCTTTTTCTCTTTTATTTATTATCTCTGTCGCCAATGTCTTAGTTTTAGTTCCTTTTGTGCCTTTTGGCAATGTCTGAATTTTCATGTCCATCTTGGCTGTTTTCCTCTTCCTTTGGCTCCTCTTCTCTAGAATTCCTTTGTTTTGCTGTAAATTGCATTACTTTTTCTGCCAGTGTGTCCAATAGACCCCTTATTTCTTTTATCATTTCTTTTACAGTTCCAACTTAAATTTTTTGCTTGCTTCTTCCATTTTTTAATCAATTGTGTTTTTCTTTACTTTATTAAAATTAATTGTAATCCATGCCAAGAGACTCCATTTATATCTCTCTTCCTTATTGGTCCTTCTGTTTCCTTTGCACAGTCAACCCCCAACAGTCCCAAGATGTTGCCTTCCTTTGTCCTCTTGCTGAAATCTCCCCCCTTTCCTTTTAAGCTTCCGGGGGTTCTTGTTATGTTAAAGTCTTTTATTTCATGTCTTTTCTCATTCATACATTTAACAGACCAGTAATTTTCCATAAAGTCATCCAAGAAAAAATGCCTTGTACCATTAGGTGGCGCTCTATATCACTTCCATTTTTCAAAGTTCTTTTTTCCCCCTTTTTTCCCAATTATATCAATGTTAATTTTCAAGCATTTCAACCATTGCCTTAAAAAAAAAAGTATAATCAATTCCAAGCAAGTTCAGCATTTTATTCAATGCCTTATTAATGCCAGGTGCTGTATATTATTCCCAATTCCGTCCTTAATTTCATTATAGCTCTTTTGTAATCCAGATTTTTATTTACCTTATATTGTCCTCTTGTTTTCTTTTCTCTGCTGTTGTACTCTCAAGTGAGGAATCTTTCTTTCTGCTTTTCAGGGTTATTAAAACAAAAGGTTCAGCTTCTCTTGTCTGGATAAACACCGTTCACCACGTAACCCCTCTAGCACACACTTAGGTCCCGGTAGCTTCCTGTCTTCAGGGCAGCCATTAAAACTGCCACTTCTCCGTTTATATTGATGGAGAGCAACTTCTTCCCCTCCACCATTTATCTACGTCTGCTTAGATTTTTGCCTAGTAATGATTCGGTTCTGTTGTTGTTGTTGTTGTGGGATTTGCTCTTCTCTCCCAGGTTGTGGGTTATCACTTCCTGAAATTAGAGAAAGTCGTTCCTTTTGGGTTCTGTGATGATATCGGTCCTCCTGTGGTCTCCTTTTAGGTTCTTCTTTAGTGGATTGACCATTCGTATCTGTGAGCTGTTGATGAAAATCTTGGGCCTGTTCTATCGATTCTATTTTGATTTTCCTCTCTTTCCACGTAATTAACATCCCTTCCGGGATTAACCATTTAAATTGGATTCCTTTTTTATTTAAATCATTAGCTAAAAATTTATAATCTTGTCTTATCATCCTCACTTTCTTTGGAATTTGTTTTAAAATCCTAATTTCTCTGCCTTTATATGATATTGTTTCCTCCCTAGACATTTTCAAAATTAAATCCCTCAGACATCTCCCAGAGAAGCGGATATGAATTTCTCTTGGACAGTTGTTACGCCTGGCGTAGCTTGTGCTAACCCTATATACCTCATCAAACTCTTTAATTAGATCATCTTTTTCCTTTCCTAACCATTCAGCCAATATTTCTGCCATCAAATGTTCCAATTCTTCATTTTTTGCTTCCGCCACATTCTGGAACCTTAAATACGCCATTGCTTTGTCCATCTCGAGGTGGACCAGAGAGTCTTCCGTTTCTCTAAGTACATTTTTAAATTCCTCATCCATCCTTTCAAAGTTAGCCTCCATGCGTGTTGTTCTACTCTCTATATCTTTTATTTTCACTTCATTTCTCTCCCCTCAACCCAGCTGGCGGTCTCCCCCTCTTCCCCCACCCCTCCGAGGTGGGTCTGATGGTTTAGTCCCATAGGGACCCCTCCAACAGGGTAAACAAAGATTGAAGCCGCGCACGGTCTCTGTCCGTCCTCGACAGAAATGCCACCGGAAGTCCAAGAAGGTTATGTCTTTATCACCCCAGAGGAAATGACCACCATAAGAAATAAAATACTGAACTAGCATAGGCCTTGGCCTAGTCCAGCTGGATTATTCTTATAATGGTCTTTGTGGAAAGAACTGCCTGGCATTTCTTCTCAGTGTTTCCCCTAATTCTCGCCCCTTCCCCTACACCCCCCCCCAGTGCTTAGATCTGCCTTTGCTTTGGTTTTATGCTGCTTTAACTGCAATTATCATTTTGTTGCTGCGTAAGCTACCCTGAATATTTCCGTGTGTGTGTGTGTGTGTGTGTGTGTGTGTGTGTGTGTGTGGTATTGGTCTGAAAATAGCTGGGGAAAATGGCTAGATAAACATTTCCTAACCTTTGTCGTTCTCAGGAGCTACCTTGTACCGAAGGCTCAAAGAATATGTGCTGACAGAGGATGAGTTGAAGGAGCATGGCTATCCGTTACCCTCTCCCGAGAGACCTGGGCGGGCTTTTGTCTTTGCTGCGGAAGAGAAGAAATTGACAGATGGTGAGTTCTGCTGGACCGGAGAATTTCTGACTCTGAGAACCATTCAAATGTTCTGTTTAATGGGGGAAAAAAATGGAGGCCAGAAAAGGAACCCACAGCCAGCTTGTTCCCTTCAAAACAGACATCTACTCTGAGATGCTTGTGGAGGGGGATCTTTAATGAGCTTTTAAACATATTGTCAAATTTCTGACTAATGAACCCAAGCAAATCAGTTGGCAGATATTTTGAAGCTTCCTACTATAGATATTATTTTATTTTTTTGGCACGTAGGCCCTCTCTTCCTGTGCTAAACCGTGAGAATATTTTAATCCTTTTGTCATTTGTGACTTATATAACAGAAGTCATATTTGAATGGGTTCATGTAGAACTGCAGCACCAAACTGGGATGAGCAGTGTGTTCCCCTTTGCACCAAATATGATTGAAAAATGCAGAGTAATGCTAGTGATGAACATGTTGTGCTGTCCATTGTGGTCCAGTGGATCCTTGTCTGGAGTGTTGTGTGTCCATGCAAATCCTCTGGACCTAATGAGGAGTATGGTGGTTGGAATACATAGGAGGGAAAAGCAGGAGGAGATTACAGATGCCTGTCCTGTTTGTAAGTTTGCTTCCCTGGCTAGGCTTCGAGATGTTTAGACTAGTCCTGCAGTTCTTCTCTTGAATTGCTAAGCAATTCCAGAGGTGCAGTCAAAGGAACTATAAGAAGTCCTCAACTTACAACCATAACTGAGCCTAGAATTATGGTTGTAAGTCATTGAAGTCAAAAGTAGAGGTTATCATGTGATTGCACTCAATATTTTTATACAGGTAATCCTTGGCTTATGAACATAATTGAGCCCAAAATTTCTGTTGTCAAGCAAGACATTTGTTAAGTGCATTTTGCCCCATTTTATGACCTTTCTTTTGCTACGGTTAAGTGAATCACCGCAGTTGTTAAGTTAATAACACTATTGTTAAGGGAATCTGGCTTCCCCAATGACTTTGTTTATCAGAAGATCTCAAAAGATGATTGTGTGACTCCAGAACACAGCAACCACCAGAAGTACATGCTAGTTGTCAAGCATTCAGATTTTGATCACATGACTGTGGGGCTGCTGCAACAGCCATAAGTGTGAAAAATGGTCATAAGTCACTTTTTCTGGTGCCATAGTAACTGAACGGTTACAAAATGAACAGTTGTAAGTTGAGGCCTACCTGTATAGTTTTTGCGGCGGCCGTTAAATGAATGCTGTGGGCATGAAGTGAATGCCACATTCATTAAGCAAATCAGTTTTCCCCAATGAGTGTTTTTTTCACAGAAACCAGCAAAAATATCACAAATCATAGTTGCTGCAAAATAAAGGTGAGTTGGTTGCCAACACCCAAAATACAGTCATGTGAATGTAGGGATGGGTGCAGCTGCTGTAACTCCGAAAACAGGTCATAAATGGCTTTGGGGGAGTACATTGTAACTTTGAGCAATTGTTAAGCCATAAGTCCCTTTAGTGAAGAAGAGATGGGTGATCTATGGTGTCCTTTGTCCAAGGACTCATTTCAGAGGTAGTGGTCTGTCTCTCTGTCTGTTTAACAATCATAAAATGCCACCTCAGTGTCTAGTAGATTGATTACCCCAGAAGGCCTTCAAGGTTGGTACTTGGATCTTGGGAGCAAATCCATCTGATGGAGGCCCAAGGACCCCGGCGAGGTTGCAGCTGCTACTCATTAAAGATCTGAAGTAGGCGACAGAATAGGCTTCTCCCAAATACCACAAAAAGCCGCTGTGAGTCATAATAGCAGATGTCAGTAGACCAAGTGAACAGATCCAGCTCCCAAACCTATAGCAGTTCCCTCAGTTCATGGCATCAGGTCAGAGAAAGGTGGTGTTGAGTTGTTCAAGCTTGTAAAAAGCTGAACTGTAATTGGTGTGTGTGTGTGTGTGTGTGTGTGTGTGTGTGTGTGTGTGTGTGTTTTCAGAAAGAATGTTCCAGTCATTGGGGAGCCGGTATGGTAGGCTTAGGTTTATAGCACAGATACCTAATTCAGGGAAGGGGATAATGTTGGTGTTGGGGTGATAAGGTGGCAAGTACAGTCTTAAGAGTAACCATGGTCAGAACAAACAAGGATGAAGGTCAGGGGGTGAATTGATGAAATACAGCAATGCGATTACTCGCTGGGTATTTAATAATCTTCCCCTTCTTTCATGTTAAAAATCATGCTTTTGCAGCAGTTAAAATTACCCCAGGAGCCATAGCCAAAGCTTACGGGGCCATATGTGACTCTGAGGCTTCAGTTTGTATATCCTGCGGGGACAAAACAGAACTGTCTTGTTTTCATAGATTTCAGTCTTTTGGGTAGACCTTTTTATATTAGGGTTACCCTGATTGAGGTAATACCCGCTTGGGTCTTCCTAAGCTAAATTACTGCAAACCTTTTCTGCCAAGAAAAACAAAACTTTAATCCAGAATAAAAGTAGATGTTGATGTCGAAAGTGTGTTTTAATTATTCAGTTAAGGTGTGAACAACAGGTAGTTCTCGACTTACAACCGTTCATTTAATGACTATTCAAACAGTCACATGAACTAAATTCAGGCACTTGGCAATAGGCATGTATTTATGAAGATTGCCGCATCCTGGGATCATTTGTAACTTTCCCAGCCAGCTTCCAACTTGTGGCATCAGAGGGGGAAGCTGGATTGTTTAATGACCACATAATTCACTTAACTACAGTAATTTGCTTAACATGGTAAAAAAGGTAGGAAAAAGAGGTGCAGCTCACTTAACAAATAATTTGCTTAACAATGTATATTCAGTCCCAATTGTAGTTGCAAGTTAAGGACTACCTGTACTTGATTTCTTTTGTTATTTCTCAGTCCTTGATACAATTGTTCCTCATACCACAAGGTGGCAAGTGGCTGAATCTCTTTAACATACCTACTCTTTCCCTATCAATAACCTCAATGATTACAGACCAGTGGCACTCACTCCTATCATCATGAAGTGCTTTGAGAAATTGGTCTAGAACCGGGAGGGGGGGGCGCTATGTGAGGATACTTTTTGTGGATTTTAGTTCTGTATTTAACACAATTCTTCCACATAGATTAGTGTCTAAACTTCTGGACCTTGGCCTTTCTTATTCAATCTGCCTTATGGATTATGGATTTCCTGTCTGGCCGCTCACAGAGGGTCAGATTAGGTAATCATACCTCTTCAGCCCTTATTCTTAACACTGGTACACCACAGGGTTGTGTATTGAGTCCCTTACTCTGTACTCTTTATGTGCCTGACTGCATTCCCACCCACTCTAGTAATACTATTGCTAAATTTGCAGATGATACAACAGTGGTGGGACTTATCTCCCAGGGGGATGAGTCTGCCTACCGAGATGAGGTAGACCGGTTGCTTTCGTGGTGTGGAGACAATAACTTGGTCCTCAACACCAATAAGACCAAGGAGCTTATAGTGGATTATAGAAAGAACAGATCAGACATCCAGCCCTTGCTTATCAATGGACACTGAGTGGAGCAAGTGGCCAGTTTTAAGTTTCTGAGTGTTACCCTAAAAGAGGACCTGACCTGGGGTGCCCACATTGCAGCCCTGGTCAAAAGGGCCCAGCAGCGATTATACTACCTGAGACTTCTCAGAAGACATCAACTGAATGAAAAAACGTTGGTGACCTTCTACCACTGCACCATAGAGAACATTTTAACATGCTGTACCTCTGTATGGTTTGCCAGTTGCACCGTGGCATATAGGAAAGCACTCCAGAGGGTTAATGTCATTGTAATGTAATGTAATGCCAGAAGATCATTGGTTGCCCTCTCCCCTCTTTGGAAGAGCTTTACAGCTCCCGCTGCCTTAAGAAAGCTCAAAACATTCTCAAAGATCCATCTCATCCTGGGAACCCTTTTTTTGAACTATTACCATCTGGCAGATGGCACAGAATAATAAAAACAAGGACAAATGGCTGAAAAACAGCTTCTATCCCAGGGCAGTAGCTCTTTTGAATTCTGCTGTATAGTGCAGTGTTGATGTGGTGTCGAGGGTTTCTGGTTCAATGTGTGAAGGGTGAAGGATGTGTGTTTGTGTTTATTTTCATGGTCATGGTCATGATCTGCATTGAAGATGGTGTTTGATTTTGTTGTATGAGGTGCAATAAAGTAAACTAATACTAACAGCTTGTCTAATGAGAGTCTTGCATTTTTGATGGGTTGGAAAAAAAACCAACCAATGCAATGTTTGAGTATTGGTTAGAAACAGTTCATAGATGAGAGGAAAATAGCCATTGGCCCTTCAGATATCATTTCATACAATCAGTACAGTCACCCTTGCAGATGAGTTTGAGGGGATCCTGTTCTGATGAACTCCCAAACAGCATGATCCATTTATCTCATTGGGAGAAACTAGAAGAATTTTTAAAAAAATAGTATTTTAGGTAGGTATATGAGAATGGACTGAGTCCCAAAAATCTATGTTTTTAACACACTCCTTTTTCTTCTGTAAGGTTCTTGCAGGATTTGTTGTCGTTGTGGCACAGAATACATGGTGTCACCTTCTGGAAATTGTGTCCGTAAAGAAGAATGCATCCATCACTGGGGGAGATTGCGCAAGCAAAGAGGTAATAGTTTACATTTTTTAAAAAAAAGTATATTCTTTTTCCAATGGAATTCAAAGTGCACAACATTGATTTTTATTCTCACAAGAAACCTGTGAGGTTATGCACAGATAACATTTTGCAATGTGCTTTGAGAGGTCAGACAACTATGTTTTAGATCTCTGCTCATGGCCATGAGTTTATCCTCTAGTAGTAATGTCACATAATCAGGTTGCGTGTTGGATATTGGAGGCCAATGAAAAAATGAGAGAAGCATCACGTTTTGGCTCAAAGGTGCTTTTTCAAAAGGCAGGTGGACTGTTTTTTGAGAAAGAAGACGACATTTCGCTTCTCATCCAAGAAGCTTCATCCATTGTGACTGAATGATGATGGAGATGGAAGGATAAGATGGAAGGATAGGATTCCACCCCCCACCCCGCCAGTCCAGGCACCATTGATGAAGTTTCTTGGATGAGAAGTAAAATGTAAAAAGTAAAATCCTCAAAAAACAGTCCAGTTACTCAAAGCACCTTTGAGACAATTATGACCTGGTTGAAGGGAATCTCCACAGACATCACATTTTGGCATTATTTGTTCCCTCAGACTGTTTATATCAAGGGGGCTTCCATGAAGCTCAAATAACAAGTAGCAAATATTTGCAAACATTTAGAAACCCCCCCCCCCCAAATAAATAAATTTTCATTCAGAGCACTTTAAAACATGCAAGGTTATTGTTGTCTTACATAAGAAGCATCGGGACACAATTGAAAGACAATAAACATAATTATGTTTGTGGTGGAGACAAAGTGGGATTCAGTTCATCAGAATCACCTTGGACCAATTGTCGTTGAACCCCACTCCACCAAGAACTAGTCTGTAATCCTTTTAGGGATTATTTAAATGATATAGCTCACAAATATTTCAGAAGTAAGTCTATCTTAGCTTTCTGTGTTTGCTATGTAATTGTTCATATTACTGTTTGCTTTCTTTTTCCTTTAGCATCATTTTCCTAGCCTGCATCTTCATTATAAGTAATAATTTTAAACATAACCTTCCCCAAGTAGTTTGATAGAAAGGAATTGTATTAGTATTAAAATCAAGAATATGTCAATCAGACTAGTTTTTGCTTAATTTTTGGTGGTTGTGTGCAGTGAGGATTTCCCACTTAGCAGTTTTCTCTTTTGCAGTGCCAGGTGGCTGGGAAACACATTACAGCTGTTGTTCGGGAGCCGTAGGTTCACTCGGATGCCAAGTTGCAAAAGTATGTAACCGTGTTTGGTCAAACCATGAAGTATAAGGTGAAGTGGAACACCTTCTCTCTGAGTACAGTGACAGCTTTGCCACTTTGATCCCCTGTTTCCTGGAAGGTGCTTTGGAGATGCTTTTCAATCTTACTTTGGCTCGGAAAAAAACATGGCCCCTTCTGTCAGCCATTCTCTGTAGGAATAGGACAAAAATATTTAATTTATTATTAAATTTGTGATAGCGGTCGAATCCATTAGACCAGGGACGTTCAACCTTGGCAGTTTTGAAGATTTGTGGATTCAACTCCCAGAATTCCTCAGCCAGCATGGGAGTTAAAATCTACAAGTCTGAAAGCTGCCAAGGTTGGATACCCCCGAATTAGACTTGGGGTGGCCTACAAAATCCAGCAAACAAGCGGCCCAAACGAAAACCATCCGAATGTCAACAGATAACAACGGGACCCCACAAGTACATCAATACACACATTAAATCCAGGCCCACGAACAAATGCTGCTTTTAAGGGCTTTCCAGGAGAGGGTGCCATCCATGTCACTCTGGGAATGCTGTTCCGTGGGCAGAGGCAGAGAAGGCACACTGCTTCAGTCCCACAAGATGGCAGCATTTAATAGAGAGGAGCTGCTCAAACATACTGGGTTGCTAGAAACAATTGGAGATATGCAGGCCCATTATATCCAAACTATTTCCTGTTTTTCCACCATGAATATTAATTTCATCCAATTAGTCATTGTGACTTGTTAATCTTCAGCACACTGATCACCCATGAATTTTTTTTTTTGTAAGAGCTTGAGATAGGAGCTCAGAACGGGGCGCTGACTACCGAGGACAATGCTGCAGTCTCAATCAAGTTAATACTCTCCCCAAAATAGAAGGGATGGGAATAGAAAGAATCACACTATATAAGGTCTGGGAGGGATCTTTGAGGTTATCTAATCCAACCATGTGCTCAGTGCAAGAGTCGAGACAAGGCATATTCAACACCACCTCGTAAGCTTTTTTTCTTCCAGGGCTGGTATTATCTAAGTTCCTCTGACCTGAACATATTCCAAGTTAACAAAGCCCTTCCTACAATATCAACCTGGTGCTCTAAGTGTGATCTAAACGAAGGCTTCTCTTCATCTTAATACTAGGCTTTGGTTGATGGATCCTAGGACTGTGGGTGCTTTTCTTCAGCTGGATCATGCTGCTAGCACGTGTTCTTCCCACCACCATCCCATCCCAAAGTGATCATTCAGAGTATATCGTAATTACATAGTAACCCTGGTCCCAGTATGATTACCCCAACAGGACTTTCCATGACAGAGAACAAGAGAAACTGGTGGTGGGAGGAGGATTCTGTTCAGGCCCGAGGCTGCTGCATTCCTTGAGGATATGGGTTTCTCCGCCATCTGTGAGAAAGACTGTGGCTCAGTGCCTTTAGAGCGACCTAGTAATTGAGTTGTGAGGAAACTAAACGGGATCAAATCTTTTTCCTCTCCAGAGATTTTAGTCCACACTTCTTTAGGGATGTGTGAAATGTTTTTGTGCTCAAACTGACGCTTCTGTAAAGCTGTCCATTTTCAAGATAGCCTTTTCCACTGTAAAGATAATGGAATATTAGGCCTACCATCAAGGTTCCTTTTCTGCATCATACCAATGAAACAAAATGTGAAAAAAGTACGATATTTATGTAGTTACTGACCAAGCACGTCTAAATTATATTAAAGTAACCAAAATATCTTTACAATCCCCAAGGCGTGTCATAACTTTTGAGACCCCTAATGTTTGGAAATTGAAAGTTGAAAATTTTGACATGCCCTAAATGGTAGAATACATCCTATTCTCCCCTGAGACATTACAGTTTTGCTGTTCAGTAATCTTTTCAGATTACTGTCCAAATGCATTTTTTATTTTCTGTGTTGTTCCTTTGGATGTTCTTGAAAACTTCTGTCAAGTTTTTTTTTTAACTCTATAACAAAGTACAGGTATTCTCTTTCACTCTTGTAATTGTTATTCATCTTTTGATTCTGTGTTATGGAGCAAGTCACTTTTCAGTCTTCTGTCCATCCACCATAAAAAAGGGAACCTTTATATACAATATTATATTTACTCAGGTTGGCATTTTGCAAGACCACCAGTCTGCTAGCTAAAAGTGGGCAAGATTGGAGACCTGATCAAATTTGTCCAGGAATTGCTTTTTAACACCTCTTTAATTCTCCCCCATTCTTACCTTAAGCAACATGTCCATGATGGCCGGAAGGAAAGTCTGGAAGGTTTTGTGAAGACATTTGAAAAGTTGCCAAGGGCAGATGGTCATCCTGGCATCTACGCCTTGGATTGTGAAATGGTAGGTTGGCTGTGCATACAGAATAATGTTCATCTTTCATCGGGAATGCGTATTTAATCCAATATACTGTATTCGTATGGAAATAACTTTGATCACTTTAATGAAGAGTTTGGGTAATGTAGAAAGGGTTTTCTAAGTAAAACAAGGCTGTTGAGATTTCTTTTGTGACTCTCGTATCTCATCTTCTGCAGTGTTACACTAAGCAAGGTTTAGAGCTGACGCGTGTCACTGTGATCAACTCAGACCTGAAAGTGATCTACGATACCTTTGTCAAGCCAGACTCCAGAATTGTGGATTACAACACTCGGTGAGGGCCCACAAAGTATGAAAAAGCATGAGGATCGTTAACAAAAATCCGTGGGTTTGGTGACAGTGACAGCAGTTGAGTGGCCAGAGTACCTGCTAAGTATCTGCATCTTTAGAGTTGCCTGCTGAAACTCTGCAAAGAAAGCCACATGGAGGAAGTTAGGCTAACAGCGGGAGTCAGTCCCACCCACTCATCTAGGCTAACTTCCTATAACTTCCTCCCTGTGGCTTTCTTTTCAGAGTTTTAGCAGGTGACTTTTATGTTTGAATTTCAGACTCATTGCCTTGTTCTCTACTTGTCCTGATTTGTGAATCAGAAAAAAAAAAATTTTTTTACTCCCAAACCATTGGATCTGTTGAGATCACATTGCCCCAAGAAATGTGGGCTGAGTATTTTTCCTATGGAGGAACCTGCTTTTCGTGTTTCTTTCTGAGTTACTGCTCTGAACTTTGTTCTTTCCAATAAGGAAAGGGGTGGGAGCACTTTTTGTGGCGACATTTGCAAACATGTAACATTGAGATATGCCAGAGGGCCTTGTGACACATACGGGTAATGCAGTGCTGGATTTCAGGGGGAAGTTGAATTTGTGTTGTTTCTACCTTCCTGCCCTTGTTACAGTTTTTATCTATTTCCCAAAAGAAAATGGCGGGGAACCATGGCTTCTGTTTTTAGCCATCCTCAGAGTGCTGCCAAAAAAGAAACCAGGGTCCATTTCGGTCAAGAGATTTTGCGAAAGAAAAGGGAGGTGGTTCCCTGAGCAGGAGTTAGCCTACAATTGCACATGTGAAGGGTGGTAACCATATGTCTGAAAAGCAGCAGATTTTTTTTTTAAAAAAACCCCCACTATATGATACCAACTTTTCCTTGGCAGGTTTTCTGGTGTCACAGAGGCAGATCTGGAAAATGCATCGATAACTCTTCGGGATGTCCAGGCGGTTCTCTTGAGTATGTTCAGCACAGAAACTATCCTGATAGGCCATAGTTTAGAAAGTGACTTGTTTGCACTAAAGGTAAATGTTGCACGGAAACACACACCTGTTTTATGTACGCCCTTCACCCGAAATGATGGCCGTGGCTAGTTTATGGGCAATTTCCCCCTTCAAACCCACTGCCTTCTCTGTCCGATCTTTTTAAGATGCACTTCTTTGAACCATAATTAAAAGTCCGAAAGGAAAGGAAGAATATAAAGAAGAATTCAGTAGATGTTCTCCTTCCTTCCCCTCCTAGCTTATCCACACTATGGTGGTGGACACAGCCGTTGTCTTCCCTCACCGCCTGGGTTTGCCTTACAAGCGGGCATTGCGCACTTTGATGGCGGATTACCTCAAGCGCATCATCCAGGATAGTGGTAAGATCTGGGGGCACAAAATGAGGACCCAGATTGTTGGGGCCATATGCTGACTCTGTGAACCACTTAGAGAGGGCTGTAAAGCACCATGAAAGTAGTATATAGGTCTATGTGCTGTTGCTGTTGCTAGTCGTTTGCAGCAATCACCTGACTGCAACTTTCAGTGGTTTTTTTTTTTTTTTTTTGCTGGAAACCAGTGTTTGTTTCCAGTTTCCAACAAAAAAATGCCCATTGTGGACAATGGATATGCTTAACGATCAGTGTGTTCTCTTAATAACCATGCAGTTCACTTAACAACTTTGGTAACTCACTTAACGACCACTGCAATAAAATTTGCTTCATTTTGAAAAACAAAAGGTTTTTGAAGTCTACCTAATGTATTGGTCTTCTTAACTTGGAGACAATTGGGCAGTTTAAAAGCTAATTCCCCCTCCCTCCCCTATGGCAGAGCCCCAAAGTCCTCACCCTTTTAGAAAAGTTGTTTAAAATCTGTGTCCCTCCCCGGGTATTTGAGTTCGGTTGAATGGAGTTCTCTTTTGCTCCTTTTATGATCAAGTCTGGTGCCATTTTATATATTGGGTGTGCCTTTTAGTGTCATGTGTTTATTTTGGGGGTTTTCCTTCTTTTTCTGCTGTACGCTAACCAGAGTCCCAGGTGGACCTCTAAGCCCACGAAACAAATAAATGAATGGCTTCTTCTTTTTCTGTTTGCTCACAGTGGAAGGCCATGACTCCAGTGAGGACGCCCGAGCCTGCATGGAGTTGATGATCTGGAAGATCAAGGAAGACGCTAAAGTGAAGCGATGATCCACCTTTATGCTGCTGCTGTTCTCCTTTGCATTTTGGTCACAGGACAATAATGAAGCCTGCAGAGACACGCCTGTAGCCAGCAGCAGACCTTCCCCAGACTGTTCCCCTCTCGGTTCACAGGTGTCCCGAGGAATTGGGAGCAAGCAACTCCTTTCGCTGGCAAAGTGACGGGCCGCGCCTGCATGCCAGGCATTGTAGTCGAGGCAAAATGCATTGTGACCCAAGAAGGTCAGCCATCCCTGTGGTGGGGAAAGGTTTGGAGATAGTCTCATCATAGAAGATGGGAGTGACTTCAAAAGGCACTGAGTTCCACTATTCCCTCTTCTTCCCCTCTCCTATTTATGGACTTTGAAAGCTAGCTTTAATTTACTTTTTTTTAAAAAAATTAATTTGGGGTCTTGCGGTTGGTCTTGGGCTATACAAGAATGGCAGAGAAGGTGATCACGGACCCTGCTGTGTCAAGAAAGCAAGCTGAAGAGACGATGAAGAGATGCTGGCTTCAGTTGAGGGAGGGAAGGTAGGATCAGGGTTGCCCAGGTGGAAGGAACCTGGCTCAAAGAAGCTGTATCCTTACACAGGCAAGGGAGAGGTGTGCATTGCAGAGGAGATCACTGGCAGAAAAATAAAGCTATAGAAAGTTAGGGATTTCAGGCCTCGGGCCGTGACTCCAGCAGCGCTTTCCTGCTTGGGTCTTGAGACCAGAGATGCTCCCAAGTGACAAGCTGCTACCAAACTGCAGGAAACAGTCCAGGTGTCTTGGTCTGGGCTGCTGATAGCATTTCATTGAAACTACTGAGGGGGCAAAACTGCCCCCTGACCCCACATCCCTCCCTGCTCAGGAGTTATTCAAACTAGCTGCTTCTGCCTTTGGCTGGGGTAGGACTTTAGCCTTTCTGGCTCGAAAACTAGGTTCTGTTTCCTGCAAACAAAGGGCTGTTACTCAAATTGGGAGGGAGAAGCGATGAGGAAAATTCCTAACTTGCTCCCCAATTCTTCCTCTGGTTAAACTTGAATATTTCGTAGTAAGACCTTCCGGGGGCTTTTTTTTTTTCCTTTTCATCTCCAATGGCTTTTTGTAGTTGCCAGTTGAGCCAGTTGTGTACAAAATCTCTCACTTTGGCCACTGAGTTGTTAAAATATAAAGATGTGGAATAAATTCTGTTGTCCTGCGGAGAGCTCTCACGCCTGCCTCACCCGTTTTCTCACAAGCAATGGGGATGTGAGAGGATCCTGCTAATAACAGTGCAGGCTTTTCTGTGCTTCTCAGCATTGGAAGCAGCCCTTCCCCCCCCCCCCACCCCCCAAAAAAGATAAGTTCATTTGCTGGGATTGCTGTCGCGCTTTGTAAACAGCTTCCCACAGGTAGGCATTAGGCAACTCTGGTTGTGAAGGAAGAGTGCCCGCAATGGACATTTTCATTATACGATGACTAGCAAGCCGGTTCCTTTGTTTTGTCAAAGGTCTCCTCTTTTTATTCAACAGGCGCCTAAGGAGCACTCTTGTTCCAAGAGTCCAAAGCCCATTGCTGGAGTTTGTGGAAGACATCCCTTGGGAGGGATTTGGCTCCAACTTAAGTATTGTGCAGTGTATGTTGGGTACCTATGTTGGTGGCCGAGTTAGGGCTATTGGGTGCTGTGTGGGTAGCCAATTCTCAACAGGGACTGGCCTCTAGAAGGGCTACATGTTTCAGGCATGTCTGCACAAAGGCTCCGTTGGGCCTTAGCTGTCAATTTTTACATCATGCTAATCTTTTCTGACGTGGCAGTCAGTGAAAATGAGGCGCCTCATTTAACCACCCTTCAGATTGGTGGTGTATGAATCCTGCCTGATGGAAGGTGGGAAACTATACATTTCTTTTTTTGACAGCACTGGTGCATTTTAAGCCCCAGTGGGTTTGGAAAGCAAGACATGCACAAACCTGTCAAAACTTTTCCTGGGAAAAAGTAGGCAAGAGTTTCCCTGCAAGAGTACATTACACTCTGAAGGCTGGTGGGAGCATTTTAAAATGCCAGGAAATTCATGTTCCTATTGGATCTGGGCCAGTGTTTTTCCAACCTTGACGACTATAAAACTTGTGGACTTCCACTCCCAGAATTCCCCACAAGTTGAAATCCACAATTCTTAAAAGTAGTCAAGGTTGGACAGCCTTGGTCCAGGCAGTGAATCCTACCTTGGGATCTGGTTGAACACTACCAGAGATCCCATAAACACAGAGAACAGGCAGCACAACTTTGTAATGAGTATGTTTTATAGATGTGACAGATAAATAAATACGACAAATACATGGGAAAAGCAGAACTTCTAAACAATCCTTGCTTTGGTACTTTAAAAGATGGTGGTTGAATCCATCTTCTTGCTCAGATATGCATGTGTTTACTTGGCATAAGAATAAAGGTAATGGTTTAAGGAAAGGAAGACCCTTGGGGTGAGCGGATGATCTGTTTAACCAAAGGAACGTATTTGCACTACAAGCTTGTACCAGGATTAATACAGATTCATCCATCATTATTAGAGAGCTCAAAAGCTCCCTAACCTCCAAGAATGGAAGTTCCCTAGACAATGATGGTTAATCTCCTTTCCCCCCCACTTTCTGCTATCATTTTGATGTTTGCTGCTCACCAACCAGAGCCTGCCCTTTGCTCTTCCTTCACAGGCAAGATTTGAAATGACTCCTGAGTAGTTTAGACTTAAGAAAAATGGGATATCTCCCCCCCCCCCGACCCTCCAACCCAGCCATTCGGGGCTGCAACTCTTCTCTGATTGTAACACTGTACAGTAATAAAACTGTAGACTTTGTATAAGTACAACTGTATACCTGTTAATACTGTTTTTTATTTTTTTTTAATAAAGCAAAATATGACATCCCTACATAGCGTGATTGTGAGGGTTGCAGGGCTAGGATTTGGGTGGACTCTTTCAAAAGGGGGTAACTTTTAAAATTATCGTTAATCAGATGTTTGTGCTCCAAACCCAAGTGGTTATTTTCACCGAATGTTTGGGATTTGTTCATCTACGGAAGCTGCTTCTCCCCGTGAGTGTTAAGTCACAGTGAATTATGGTTGTACAGAGCAACTCCACAATTAGAAATTAAACGTGGTTTTGTGTGATGGGGAAATAGAGTGGACAAGTGCAATTTGTGTATGCGTATCTATATAGATAAAAATCTAGCAGATGGATAGATAGGCGGGAGAACGTTTGTTAAAGAAAATAGATTTGAGAAATGTTAAGGTGTGCAAATATAGATAGATACTGGGTGAATTTCTATGTCTCATGTGAGGGATCCTCCATTTTATTCAACTTTGAAGAAAACATGATTATAATGATACCCAACGTTTCAAGTACACGTAGTCCTTGACTTAACAATGGTTGTTTTAGTGACCATTCAGAGTTACAATGGCACTGAAAAATGTGACTTATGACTGTTTTTCACAGTTACCACCGTCGTAGCATCCCCGTGATCATGTGATCAAAATTCAGAGGCTTGACAACTGGTTCATACTTACGACTGTTGCTGTGTCCCAGGGTCATGTGATCACCTTTTGCAATCTTCTCACAAGCAAACTCAATGGGGTCGCCAGATTCATTTAACAACTGTGTTACTAGCTTGTCAACTACAGTGATTTACTTAACAAACTCTGGCAAGGAAGGTAGTAGAAATGGGGCAACACTCACTTAACAAATGTATCCGCTCTGGCAGCCGAAAACTGTAATCCGCTGCCCCGAATGGGGAATGTTGTAGACATCGAGCCAGAGGATGCTGAAAAGAAGGGAGGGATCGTGAGAAAAAGGTTTGGAGGGAGGGAGGGAGGGAAGTGAGAGGGAGGAAGAGAGAGGAAGGAAGGAAGGGAGGGAGGGAGGGAGGGAGGGAAGAAAGGAAGGAGAGAAAGAGGGAGGGAGGGAAAGCAGAAGGGAGGGAGGGAAGGAAAGGGGAGGGAAGGAAGTGAGGGGGAGGAAGAGAGGAAGGAAGGAAGGAAGGGAAGGAAGAAAGGAAGGAGAGAAGAGGGAGGGAGGGAAAGACAGGAAGGAGGAAGGAAGGAAAGGAAAGGGAGGGAGAAAGGCAGGAGGGAAAGAAGGGAGGGAAGGAAGGAAGGAAAGGGGAGGGAGGGAGGGAAGGGAAAGAAGAAAGGAGGGAGGGAAGGACGGAAGGAAGGAAGGAAAATGGGAAGGAGAAGGAAGGAAGGAAACAAGGAAGGAAAAAGAGAAAAGGAAGGAAGGAAGGGTTAGGATGAGAGATTTTGGGCTCAATTGTGGTCATAAGTTCGAGGACTACCTATACCTGAACAGAGTTACAGAACTTTCTCCTCATTCACACTGAGATCTTGAACAAGAGGTTGAAACAGTCTCTACCGCAGCAGCCTGGGAGATAAATTGGGCTTGAATGTGAAAGCAATCCAGCGGCTGATGTTTCTGTAATGTTCTCCTATCCTCTTCCGGTACATCTTTTTGAAATAAACTTTGGGATGATCTTGCTTTCTATTGGCAAGAGCTTGACAGTGGTATTTGGGAGGTGTATATATGTGTTTTAAAGGGTTTACACAACTATTAGTATTGAGTTTCCCATTTAACAGCAAGAGGAGACCGCATCACATTTTTTAGCTCTTGTGCCTGTGAAATTTGGCAGCGTATTTGAGGGGATTCTCAAGTGTTGGCCACAAAGTCCCTGTCTCTCAATAGTAAACAGGATCTCTGTTAACTTCCAAATACAAGGTTTGTCTGTTCCTCCTGCATTTGTGAGCCCGCCTGCTCCTAAGGGCCTTTAATTTCTCGGGGTCTGGTCCTGCAGGCATTCCTGAATATTCTAGCAAAATAATTCTAGAAGATTGAATGTCGTGATCCAATTGATGTGGGTTTGAGAAGCAACTAGGAACTGTCATTCTTACTGGTAATGAATCTTTCATGGATTCATTATATCCCAAGATATCACAGAAAATAGATCTCTGCTGTAAAAGTGCACCCAGCTTTGATCTCAAAGTAGAGAGTATGATTGGCATCTGACAATGTTGCAACAAACGAGGTGGAGTGTGTCTAATAGTCCTGCTGGACCACACCAAAAAGCTGTTGAATGTAGCATTATGTGGATTCTCACAGTGTCTAATTAGCTATTCTCAGGAAAGTCCTTGGCCACTGGTATATAAAATAATAATATGATTCTAGCGATTGATTGGTTGGAAAGAGCCAGCAAAATTATCCATCAGCAATGGCCCAATCCTCCATGAACTGCGCCTATCTATTTCAAAATAAATGGGTGGCTATTGCCATATTTGGTGGCTGCGAATTCAAAAGCTTTGACAATACAATGAACTAAACTCTGATTAGCTAATCAGTGTTTTTTATTTATATTTGTTTATCAAATTTAGACGTTGCCCCACTGTCCAAGTGGGCTGTTTATAGATAACAAATTATAAAATTATATGAAAAAGAGAATGAGAAACAGAATTAAAACAAAGTGAAGAATAAAATAAGAATAAAAAAGGTAAGTTGAATGCTGGAGAGAGCACCCTCAAGCCACCAAGTCACCCCAGGATTGTGTGCCACTCCTCAGTTCTCACTAGTTGGCAAAGCTAAGTCTTCACACTCTTCCAAAATGGAGGACAAGATATTTGTAGGGTGGGGACAATAGCAAAGAAAGCTCTCTTATGCTTTAATACAGGGGTCCCTACAGTCTGTGGATCATTACTGGGCCCTACCATGCCAGAATGGGCCACATAAACAAGCCCCATCCATGGGATTCAGGCAGCAGATGAAACACCCCACCGCAGTCGGCAGGAAAACTCTATGGAACTGCCCAGGAGTGGGATTCAATTTTTTTAACAACCGGTTCTGTGGGCGTGGCTTAGTTGGTGGGCGTGGCTTGGTGGTCATGTTATTGGCTGGGCATGGCCAACTCAATATCACTCGCATCGAGGCACCATCTCTTCAAATGGCCTCTCA